GTCTCTGTCAACCCCTAAGTGATCTGTTTCAACACTCCCTTGATGTAGGGAAACTTCCATGTGAATGGAAACGTGCAATCCTATCCCCTATCTTCAAGGGTGGTGACCGGCAGAATGTGACCAGTTACAGACCAGTTGCTCTACTTCCAGTGGTATCGAAGATATTGGAAAGTCTCATTGACGACCACATGAGAAAATACTTCGATGGGACTAACCTTCTTCACGAAGCACAGCACGGTTTCAGGAGGGGAAGATCCTGCGTGACGAATCTTCTACTAGCCTGGAACGATTGGACACTAACCTGGGACAAAAAGGTACCAGCCCACGTGATCTTTCTCGACTTTGCGAAAGCATTCGACACAGTTCACCATGGTCTGCTCCTTCACAAAATAGGCAAGGCGGGAGTTTCTGGAGCACTTCTCGCATGGCTGACAGATTACTTAGGCGAGAGAGAATTCTGCACCAAAGTCAACCGCATCCGATCATCTTGGCACACCTCGGCATCAGGGGTTCCTCAGGGTTCTATCCTAGGGCCGTTGATGTTTTTGATTTTTATCAATGACCTGCCCCCCCAACTAAACTGCTCTGCGCTTCTTTACGCTGACGACGTAAAGATTTGGAGAGCAATAAACTCATCGGAAGACTCAGATAGATTGCAGGCTGACCTGCAAACTCTGGGAAATTGGGCTTTGGCTAACGGAATGCCTTTCAATCTAAAGAAGTGCAAAGTAGTGCAGCTTCATTCCGGCAGGTCACAGAGTGTAAATTACACCCTTGGTGGCCAGAACTTGAGTTGTGTTCCATCAGAGCGTGATCTAGGTCTTATTCTAACAGAAAAGCTAGACACCAGTGGAAATTACTCGAGGGACGTCGCCAAAGCCTACGCAACATTACACTTTATGCACAGGCAGCTGGGAGCTCTCACTCCCGAACTGTTCTTAAGGCTATACAAGGCATATGTGAGGCCACACCTTGAGGTGCATAATATCATTGCACCTCCGCTACTCAAAAGGGATGCTAACATTCTAGAAAGTGTCCAGAGACGAGCGACAAAATGGGTGATCGGCCTCCGCAACAAATCATATGAGGAAAGACTAAAGAAATTAGGTCTTTTCACACTCAGTTACCGTAGGCACAGGGGAGACCTCATCACCGTCTACAAGATCCTAAATGACCAGGCCCACCCAAATAAAAGCATCCTGCCATTAAGCGATTATAGGCTTCCACGAGGTAACCCGCTAAGGATAGCACACCAGAGACCAAAGACTCGAGTGCGATCACATTTCTTTTCGCTTCGTGTTTGCCGTCTCTGGAACGCTTTACCGGCGGCCGTGACTACAGCGCCATCTGTGGAGATTTTTAAGCGGAAGCTAGACAATCATGCAGAAATGCAAGGTTTGTGTCTCAATGGCTTATCCTCATAAAATTTGAAACCAAACTGTCAATGAATAAGCGTACTAACTAAATCCCCACGACCTATTCTGCCTTCTCTCACTCTGTCTTTTCCTTATGTCACCTTTATTATTCCACTTATCTCAACCTATATTATCTACACTACAACCTATTATTATTATTATTACTATTCTGCTTTTATGACTACACCGAATGACCAAGGGGAGTTAGGTCAAACTCCATTCACGGCAGCAATACAGTCCTAACATACTGCATACTACAAACCACATCTCGACCAATCCCCGCACCACTCCTCCTGGAGTCTACCAGAGCTAAAGCAGTCGAGTGTCGGGACTTACTACGCAGAAGCTCACCGAAGATCTGGAACCTCTACCTCACAATCAAGAAGCGAGCTCAAAGAAATCACTGGTTTATACTAGCTCGTCATCAGGATATTGGATATTGGAAGGTCAGGTTGCTGCGCGGGTGTTTCGGTTTTTTCGCCAAAGATGTTGGCGAAGCAAACTTACGTACACAGTTGGTTGTTAAGACTCAATGGGAGTAAGTTTACACAAAAACCCCATTTAACCCAAATTCTTGGTTTGCCAGCTTACTCCCTGGTGGATTAATGTGTGTTTAAAACTCGTGGTGCCGTAAAGGCAGGATGTGCACATCCTGATGTTTTCCACTTCTTATTTGTGTTCCCATAATATCTGTGGTCCTCTACAGTCTTTGACAACCTTGAAGCTGTGCTGAATGTTGAACTGAGGGGAGATTTTTCAAATCTAGGCTTCGTTTTCTAAATTTGACATGGAAACAGGTTGCTAGGTTGAGGCATAGCGTACCAGGCGAACGCCCAAGTAACCTCGAACAACGAGTGAAATCAGCCTCACAGCGAAATAACGCGAATATGGTTGGCATGCACAGCTTTCAGTGCAAATTTCATCCTGATTCGGATGTTCTGGAGACTGGTTACCAAGGTAGCAACCTTGCTAACTTGATATAATAGGGTTATAATCTTCCACAAACTATATAGCTACTTAACTAGTAGTGCATATTTACGTGGAGTTCACCGGGCATGAAAATGTGAAATTGATCATGAATATATTTTCACCACAACCTTTCCAATCTTTTGGAAGACTCCATCTAACAACCATGGTTGAATTTGCTCGTGTTTGTGGTCAGAGACTTACTGTACCCTTACTATTCGGTAAACGCTAGTTTTGGTGCGGTGTGTACAGCTTTTATGAGTTTAAAAATTCCCGAGATTACTACTTAAATTATATAAGTATAGGTCCTATTTTAGAAACATCTTTATGGAGTAGTAGATAGTCACATGAATCTGTCAGCACTCTGAAGGTTCGTGTTGTTTGGTTTGGAGTGAAAATGTAAACACATAATTAAGCATTAGGTTTCATTTTCGTTCCACGTCTCGCTACAAATTCGTCTGTATTTTGCCAAGACACCTTTTAGTGTACTCAAGCTTTTGTCGGTACAATATTGACCATGTAGTGCATACGTGATAAGACGACCGCCACTCAGGAAACCATGTAGGTTAAAACACTGTTGTAAGATACGTTTTTGCGGGAGAGCTAAGAATGCTATCAGTGTACCAGACACAGTCGCGTGATCTGAGCTTTGTATTCAGTTCTTAAAAGAATGAATTAGTTCCTCTGTAGTGATCGACAATGTTAAAACAGCATATTTTCAATGGTTAGAATATCTGTCAAGGGTCACGTAATCTATGGAACCATTTCTAATCATTTTCAATCAATTTAATGTATTTTGATCAAATCGTCATGTTTCAGTAGTTCTGGGAAAACTGATCTACTTGCCACTTCGCAGCGACATCGGTTCACACAGACTTTCCCATTCATAAGTGAAGTGAAAGGGGGAGCTTCCAATGTTAGATTGCAGTGTAAAAAGGAAAGAAGATGGGAAGTTAAACACTAGTGTTTATAGGAAGCCCACACATTTAAACAGATATTTGGACTTCCGATTATCCCGTTCTATGTCAGTAAAAATACGATTGGTGAAATGTTTAAGTGACAGAACACAAAAAATAAGTAGTACCAAGGAAAATCTAAGACAGGAAGTTACACATATAAGAGAAGTCTTGAAACATAATAATTACCCGGATAAATATGTAGGGAAATGTGAAAATAAAATAAATGTTAGTAGTGAGAGTGATAATAATAATATTAATGTCGACATGCATGTCAAATATGCGCAAGACAACACCAACAATAAGGAGTCTAAATCATCAGTAGTAATTCCATACAAAGAAGGAACCTCAGAAACCTTACGCAGAATTCTTAACAATACATGTGGGAACAAAAGTGGCATCCAAACTCAAAAAATCAATCAGAAACAAGCTTAGTCAATCAAAGGATCCTGTGATGCCTTTAAAACAAAACAATTTAGTTTATCTAATACCCTGCCTGTGAGGATTGTCAGGTCAAATACATAGGTCAAACTAGTAGGACAGGGGCAGTCAGACTAGCTGGACATAAAAACCTAGCTAAATCTAGACTGGTTGACCCGAATAAGATAAGAAATCTAGAGAGTAGTTCAGCTATAGCACTACATGCAGTTACACACAACCATACAATAGGATGGGATAGGATGACAGTTTTAAAATCTAATGTCACAGGGTGTAGGGAGAGATTGATAACAGAAGTTTTGTTTATCGAATCAACTGCAAATACGTGTAATAGGAATGATTCAACACCTGTCTCAGATATTTGGAAAATTCTACTACCCCTACGACGAATAGGAGAGGACAAAGAAAACTATAGAACTCAAGTTTCAAAGTCGTGTGATTAAAATTGATATGATTATGAACAATAAATTTTATTCGAAATGTCGTCCAGTAAATAATACTGTTTCTCAAACTAATATGGAATTACTTACTACCATAGTGCCCAAGTTTTCACATATATTGATCTTCCTCAATAACTTTGAATCAGTTTCACTTAATTAATAAGATCAAAGGATATCTACTTCAGACGTTTCATTATCTTTTTGAAATTGTTGGATTTTCATCAGCCTTTCAGAAAATCACCTTGTCACGGAAGATGAAAGCCATAAGACAAAACGATTGAGTAGGTTTTAAGACTTGCGTACCTGCAGATTTCCTTCTAAGAGGAGTAGCATAATAAAGGCAACAGTAGTGAAAACTAATTCAATAACTCGTAAAACACTGGGAAAAAAATATAACTAACTGCACACATAATTATGGATCCTATTATCAACTTACATAATCCAGATGATGTTACCACGTCATTCGAGAATATTGATGAAACCTATTCTTATCTATCAAGTGAATATGAATCGGTGCTTCACAGCCTATCTACAACAACTCATAGTTTAGAAATAGAGCTAAGTAATTTATCATATTTGCCGCTCGATTAATACATGTATAAAACTTTGGCACTGGAGTGGTAAGTCCGTATTAATTTGCACTGTGCGTCGGTGGCACAGTGGTTAGGACTCTCGCCGACCATGCACATGGTCCGGGGTTCGAGCCCGCACCGACGCACATCTGATATCTATGGTCGGCCTGCAAAATTTGGGCTACCGATATCCATGCTGAAAATTCCATACTTGTACCGAAAATACAGTGTGGAATCGAGCTGTAAATCCAAAAAAGAAAAAAAAATACTGTGAAACAGCATTATTCGCCGGATGACGTGTCGAACACAATTTAATGTTCGGAGTGATAATCACATAATTATTTAATTAGTTTATTTATTTAATCCAATCTTTTAAAATTCAGTTAAATTAATTTATTTTCTGAATTAGTGAATTTATTCAATTAGTTTTATTTGTTTATTAGTTTTTAAGGATTTACATATTTAGCTGATTGGGATCTAGTCAACCAGAACAGACTTTTTTCGTGTATCAGGCTATAAGCTACATATGTTTTGACGGCTGGTGATACTGCTCTTAGGCTTAAGCGGGTAGACTGGGATTTGACCCCAAGACCCACTACCTGAATCTCAGCGTCAATGGGCCACATAACCAGATTATGATGCAGGCAAAATACCACTTTGGTTTCGAAGGACCGGCTACTTTGCGGCAGTATTCTATTCTAATCCGTGGCCGAGAAGTATGCCTGTTGAAGTTCGTTTGAGTATTTCGCCTTCACAACATTGCCGGCATTTTATAGAACCATTGCTTAAGTAATGTAGAATTCAGTCGTAAGGTAGGTTGGATAAACATCTATCTCACGAGGTGACTGAAACACACGTCACGCTCGCCACTCCAATATTTATTTTTAAGATTCCACTATCGCAAATAAATCTAAGATGCAGATAGAGAAGGATAGTCAAACAGACGTCATACCAGTTCGTGAAGTAAGTAAATATTGAATTAAATCGCATAGGGAAACGGAGGTTGTATGGGTAGTGTCCATATGATCACAGGGATCCACAGTTAGAACCTCTAGCTGATAAGCCTGTAGATGTAGATGAATTCATCCAATGTCTTATTACTGGTGATTTGTTTACTTTGTTCCTTATCGCAGCACTGTATTACCCTTCGTTGTACAACTTTTCCTTTGTCTTCTTTTCTGCTCTTTTTCCCTTGATATCATTGCACCTGTAGCTGATTGGTCTAGACTCTTGACTGCCAACCGAGGGACCATGGGTTTTATGTTGAATCCAGACAGAGACAGACCATGGGTTCGAAGCCCGCTCTACGCACCGAGGCTTAGGCAGTTCCGAGCAGTATGATTAGCCCTCACAAAATAGGTAAGAGTGTGGTTCATTGCCATTTGCATGGAATTGCAATTAGTTGCTGAACAACATTGGGTTGTTCCATTCTGCCTGATATCCAGGTATTAGGTATAGCAACATGGACCACTTTGCTGTAATCTTATGTCTTACATTGTTAATTTCGCTTTGTCTAATGCACTCAGTGCCTTCTGTTTTTTACTCTTTAGTCTCGAAACATTTTTACAACTCATGATCACATCTTCCGTTTCTGCTTCATTTTTCTTTTAAAGCATTGTGTAGGCAATCATCGTCATTTCGAAACCCTCCTATTAATGCAGCAGCAGCAGGAGTATCTGGAACTACATCGAGTACAACTACTTCTAAAAGTTCAACACCACCTCCACCTCCATCACCTCCAACTTCCCAACAGATTGAAGTATTAGTGGATGGCAAACCTGTTTTATGCGAACCTGGTATGACTATTTTACAGGCATGTGCCTTAGCTGGTGTACAAATACCTCGGTAGGTAAACACGAAATTTGTTGGAGCATCATAATTAGTGTATGTTATTGGAGTTAATCTTTTCACTATAAAGTCAAGGTGATCAAACGCAAAATTTTCGAGCAGCTTAAGAAGACTAAAGGTCATAAGTTCATCTTATTGGAGATATTTCTTAGTAAGGGTGTATTCCTACAACGTAGCCAAAATGCATAAAGACTACATAGCTACATCTGTCTTGACAAGTAGTGATGGACTCGGAAATTAGAATAATAATAATAGAAAGTCAAATTACATGAGTACAAAGTGAATGAAAGTATGCTACACTTAGCACGTCCTTAACTATTCTTCAGTCACTCATTCACATGACAAAGTTTTTATCTCATTTGTTACAGGAATGTCTTAGAAAGTTAGCATGTCCTTTTTGTCAGTTTCAAATACATAAAGAATGCTATTGATCACAGTATTAAAAATTGTGGTATTCACCATAAAGAGCTTATTTTCTACTAACTGTATATTATCATTGTTATTTCACATTTTGAATTTACTATCACTTTTTAGGCGTAAGTAATTTGTTGCAGGTGTTTTCCTGGTCAGATTCTGTATGCTGTGAAATATAAAATAAACTTTCCACTTAAAAATCATTTAGGGAAAACAAACATGGTTCCAAAAGAGATGACTACTTCACTGAATCAAGTGTTTTCCTTCCCTTACATGTGCTAATGGGATTGAAGAGTATTTGTCACATGGCATAGTACTGTTTATATTCGATCTGTATATCCAACTCAGAGTTACAACCACAAAAGTAAATATTATTCCAGCTGCTACTGTTTTCCTCTTATAAATGAGTTAAGGCTAAGCTTAGCTAGCAAAATATTGACATTTCTAGCTTTGTAAAATCTAGGGGTTTTCGAGTCTGTATTGAACTCATTTGGCTGTATGCACTAAAAATTAAATAGCCTTCTTTCTTTTAATTATTATTATTATAAGGTTTTGCTACCATGAACGTTTGTCAATAGCTGGAAATTGTCGTATGTGTTTAGTTGAGGTGGAAAAATCTCTGAAACCTGTTGCGAGTTGTGCAATGCCGGTAATGCGTGGCATGAGCATCAAAACAGACTCAGAAGTAACTCGAAAAGCACGTGAAGGTGTTATGGAGTTTCTGCTGGTTAATCATCCCTTGGATTGTCCTATTTGTGATCAGGGTGGGGAGTGTGATTTACAGGTACATTTACTGTTATGCTTACTACAAGTTAATTTGTTTGTATTTCAATTTACTCTTAATTATTTAAATGGATATCAGAAACGTTTAAAGTGTGCTTATTTACTCAAATTGATTTTGTTAATTGCATAGATTCTACAAATTTGTCTAGTGGTGCTAATTCAAAAAACTGGTTCTTGGCACAATGAGATACACATGGTCCGAGTACGATTTCCATTCGATGTACTTCTAAACGTCTTCCAGTTTAACAGCCGACAGTAAGATCAGGAAAGGGGGAAGGTCAGGAATGAGGTTAATGAACCCACCTCGTGGAAAAACACTACTGTTGCTGAAATTTCAAGGGCTGGAATCCCTATTTCCACTGGGATCGCAAGGAATAAAACAGGGCCGAAATGTAGCACCAGTCCATAAAGTAAATGACTGTTGGTTCGAGCTACGTCGAGGATTGTAAGCTACTTGGATTGGGTTGTGAGGAGACTAAGAACCAACAGTTGGAGAAGGGGATGGTGAAATACTTATAAATCGTGCACAGTTGCGCGAGCGTATTCTTCTCCTGTCACCATCAAGACCCTGGAATCCTTCACTAATCTTCACCTAGTTATTCTAAACCCTCAGTCTTCGTTTAATTGTCTTGTCAGTTGGCTGTTTCTACTCCTGATTCATCATTCCGTAAACCATATTTGCATTGATACATAAGAACTGATAATGTTAAATGATTATACAAAGCTTAGGAGATGGAATGACTTTTTTTTATCTGTGACTTATTGTTTGGAAGTCAACTAACTATCTAAATCAATAAACCTCAGCTTCATCTAATGGATGGCATCTAACAACCATTGGTCATAAGAAGAAGTTTTCTTTTACCGCTATGTTGATAACCGAGAAGTACGCGATTCTAAATTGAGAGGTGTGACCATCTGACAAAAGCATTTTCACAACGATGTCCAAATATTTTTTTTCACTCCCTGGATTAAACTGTAGAAACCCAGAATTATTTGTTGCAATTCTAAACGTCGAAATGTTGGATTTAGCACGTGAATATGGCTTTTATGCGTTCAATTGCCACTGGAGAGATTAGCTGTTTGTTGGCCTGGTAGTTTCTGCTTTACATCATAACTACCTGTTAATGTATTTCTCTATGTGCCACATTTATTGTGCGAAGACTAGTTACATAATCTAGTTTCTCAAGTCTTACTTGGTGGAGCAAAGTCCGAACTTATGACTTGGTGATTGAAAGGCGTATGTTAATCAGCTGTATCTCCGAATGAAAAGGTGAAAAGCCATCGGAAGGCAAGCAGTGAAGATCATACTGAGTAACTTCTTTCTTGTATTAGCAATTTATAGATTGGATAACTGGATTGGGACTTCAGTTTGAAAGTCATTTTTCACTGATGTGTTTATATTGCAGATGGTTTTGATCAGTTGTATGTCATATATCTTTTTCATATTAGATAAATTTAATTTTTCAAACATCACACAGCGACGCGGTATTAATAACTGGATGCTAGAAAAGTCATCCAGTTGTTAATACCGCATCTCTGTGTGATATTTAAAAATAAACGTATCTAATATGGACTTACATTCTCCTGCAGTACCCGAGTTCTACACTTAAATATTTCCTTCTATTTTTGTCATAAGGATCAGTCAATGAATTTTGGGTCAGATCGCTCGCGTTTTGTTGATAATCGGTTCACTGGGAAACGGTAAGCTTTTCTGTATGGATTTTCGTTGAAATTTAAGTTTTATCGCGTGCTTTCTTTTCAAACTTTAGAATCGATTGTGGTGTAATTCATTTTAGTAAACTTGTAATAGGGATCGTTTGTTTTTAGTTTTGAAATCGTTTCTAGTTGGGATTATTACTATTTAACGACTTATACTACAATCACATTATACGATTTAACTCCTTATAGCAACAGTATGGAAGTTATGACTAAATAATAGGTTTTTTAAGAATTATTTGGTAACTTCATTATATAGTGACTAATACTCATGATTTTGTGGAACAAAAAATGATAAAAGTGAAATGAATTATCTCTATTCCGTAATTCCAATTAATCTTCTGCGTAGAAATTAATTTAGAAGTTTTGAAACAGTCATTTTCAGTTATGATGTGACTCACTGCGCTTACAAAATAATAACAAAAAGTTCCACTACCCTGTGGTGTTGATGGGAACACAATAGTCCTCACAAAAACATGATATCACCAATTACCAGAGACATATCAAAGACAATAAATAGAGATTTTTAGTGTTTAAAAATGGTATAACGTACTCCTTAGAATTATTTTCAATTTATTTGATTTCAAATTGTGTATTCTGTCATCGAGTCCTGTAAATAATTCTGAGACTAGTTGATCTTAAGGTTCTGTAACGTTAGTCTTAGTAGATAATTGAGTCGCAGTAACTGAAAGTGATTGACTTTACATCTACAGTAAACAATAATTGTAGTAATTTTTTGTACTTGTGATTCTCCGTTGCCTTTTCTAAACGGAATCGGTCAGTCTCATTTCTGCACACGGTGTTCTTAAACCGATATTTCGATATTGTTTTGATTCCTAACTTAAAATTATTTGATTGCATGGAGGATTTAATCATGAGCTGACATCAGTTAGAGAACCACTGGAAAACCTGAGAGTACTGAACAGCTGCTTCGTCCTAGTTTGGGACTCTTCATCAGTACGCACCTACCGGGATTCGAACCCAGGACCTTCTGGTTACAAGGCGAGCTCGTAGACCATTGAGCCACTGGGACCCGATCCAATGGTCCTAGAATTATAACTTCTGCCAGTTCACGACATAGCGCGACCACTTCGCAATGTCTTCTTCGATGAGTTACTGCCTCATCTTCAACCTGCTGTATCCTACTGGTCACGGCTTCCCACTAGAACCCCAGGCTAACTGCCTGAATAGGGCCAGTCATGATTTCAGTTCATGATTAAATCCTCCATGCAATCAAACAAAATCCCTACAAAAACCAATGCTTGAAAATTAAAATTATTTGTTTGGTGGTGGATTCTATTTGAACATTGAACGTAAGTTTCATTTTGTTTGAAACTTGTTATCTGGGTGTAGCTGCATCCCACTGAAACTCGAATCTAGCACCCATCATTTCAAACACCAAATCGTTATCCACTAGGTTGCCTCCAAAGCCTCAGGATGGTCGGGGGTGGGTGCCTTGCGCTGCGGGTTGGCCACCCCTCCGCACACCTCTTGAAATGCTCCCATATGACCGGGCGTCTTACATAGCCTCTCCTGAGGAAGTCCTACTCACTGCCTTCACGTGGCGGTGTTTCTCACCAATGTGAGACGGCGAAAGCGGATGCCCGGCGCTCTCCACCGGGTTGACTGTCCATTGGATGACAGTCTAGGGGAGATGGCTAAACCCTGATTCTAAACCTCCAACGACTGGCGTATGAAGCTCACTGGAGCTCACCGGTAGACGTATGGACAAAGGGCTTGTTGGATGTCGTAGATGTCTGGCCCCATTCAAAAAGGCGTATGAACCGAACTGCGGTCACCGGCTGCCAATGGATAGTGGACTCCTTACTCCACTCCTACTGCCTTGTAGGTCACACTTGGTTGTGTAAAGGCTAGAGCTGCACTCTCAAACAAAAGGCCGAGCGATGCTGGGGACATCACTCGTACAAAATTCCCATGAAACTTCATGAACTCTTACAAATTGCCGCGCCTGGGCAGCGATGATTCGAGACGTTCATGAAGCCGGCTCATCCTCCCGTAGATAGCCGAAGTAAAGTAAAGTAAGTATCCACTAGGTTACTTGAGCCACATAAGCCACTCCTTCTGCAACAGATGCCAGTTTCAATAAGTTATTACTAGAGAACATTATTCATTTAGTAACTATGCTTACTGTAATTGAATAAAACTATTATTTAGAACAACACATTTAAGCGAACAATATTGTTTTCAATTAGATCTCATCAGGCTCAACTCTAATATATATAAGTTTACAAATAAAAATACAAATACAAACGAATCATGGAGTTTTGCCTTTAGGATAGTAAGATGGTGAATATAAATTGTGCAATTAGTCATAATAGTAGTAATGATAATAATAGTAATAATAATGGTGGTCTTATTAGTAATAAGGATGAAAAAGCTTGGCAATCTGTGATAATACGAATAATGAAAAACAAACAAATGTTCAGGTGGAAGTAGTCGATAAAGGCTAGTAAAAACAAATGAACTGAGTAAGTAATGTTAGATTATAAGGGAAGTAAATGAAACACGTTTTTAATGATGTGATAAGATTAAGGGATCATAAGAGAGGGGTTGAAAATATAAGTAAGGGGTTGTGGAGAAGTCATCAGTTGGTTATGTCTAAATAGGCCAAGGGAGAAATAATGGCTGTACACACTTCTTTTGATTGCATAGTTTAGGTTTAATAGTTCGAATGCCTATCACCTCAGCTGTGTGCAGTAGACGAATAGGAAGTCTATTGGAAAGATTCGGTGGGATATGATGAATTACCTTTAAAGCTTTCGTTTTATCCACTACATGACCATGTGATAAAATTGAGCTACGGATTGTTTTTATCTGTCGTATCACGATGGGAGATGTTCACTAACAAGTCGGTTGAGCTATCTGGTAGTACGCCCAACATAACGGTCACCGCAAGTGCAGTTGAATTGATAAATGCACATAGATGGGGCAAAACTATCTAGCTTATCTTTCGTTTGCGTCCCAATCATTCGTTGGCTAGAGGATGAAAAGCATAGGTATGCTGAGTAAAACGTTCTTTGTCTACTCCTGGAAAGTCTCTGGAGTAAATTCTTAGTTGATAAGTCACCATTAAACTGTAACTCAATAAATAGATGTTTTTTACGTGCAGTCAGAGTCTCAGGTTTTTTCTTTGATGTTTCGTATGTTTCTTTATGCAACTACTCGGATAGCCCATCTCCGTCAAGGAATCGTGAATACATTTAAACTGCTTCGCAAGACATTTAACAACATTTCTTTTATATTTAATGGGCAGGTAACTATGGTAGTGTGTGTATTGCCCTGTGAATGTGCTTTTTCTATACACGCTTCTCCCAAGTGACCCATCTTCTCGCTTACTTATGCATATTAGAGTTACGCCTGATGAGATCTAATTGAAAACGATATTTTTCGCTTAAATGTGTTGTTCTAAATTTTACTATGGGAATATTTAATATATTGAAAACTATTATTCACGAAAACGTGGTGTATTCGTACTTGGTGATGTGGTGTTTACTTTCATTTTTAAGAAATAATATCGTGATGCACTTTTATAGAACTAATTTCTTTATCATTATCACTCTTATCAATGTGTTTATGCACACTTCTTGTGTTTATTCTTTTCCTTCAGTGCTGTGGAAGATAAAAATCTTGGCCCTTTGATTAAAACAATAATGACTCGTTGCATACACTGTACAAGATGTGTAAGGTAACTTGCTAGTATGAAATTGCTAGTATTTTTCACCTAAACTGTACTGCTACTATAGCATACACCAGTCACTAGATTTCACAATTAACTTTTTGTTTTGTACATTTTTATATAACTGATGCGTTCATTAGGTTAAATACTTGACTTTCGACCGCTGCCTGCCGCCCTGCCTACTTCAGCCTGAGCAACCAACCCTCATACAATGAAAGTGAATCATAGTCTGACACATAAAAATGTCTCTGTCGAATAACTGAGGTAATCGGATCAAAAATATCTTGAAGCTGAATTATTTAGACAACACTGCTAATTGCTGATTAGTAAAGTTGAATTCTCCAGCAACTATTATGATGTGGGCAGTCAGGTAATTGTGTTATCACAATGCTTATACGTTGAATTTGGTCTATATTTTAGAGGGTAAACTTCAGATTAGTTTACTACTAGACTGTTTGACTCTCAAAATTGAACACCGAAATAAAGACGTTCAATGTCATAGTGAATAGCAGCGTCTTGTCACTTATGTCTTAATGGTTCTGCTCAGTATAATTGGATGTCAACACTAATTATCATCTACCTGTGCCTTATTAACCAATGTTACAGTTTAGCTTATTTCACAGGTAAGTTCCGGCCGACAACTGCCAGCTTGCCTTGGTGGTCGGGCTTGAATACTGCAGGGACCCAACAAGCTAAACTGGTTGAGACTCATCTTCCTGCAGGTCCTACCATGTCAGTAAGGTTATTTGGATAGCGGTGGTTAGACTAAAAGCAGTTACCATGGGGTACATGGGCTCCAGAATCCAATCGGATCTAATGGCGTATGAACTCATATTGGTCACCGGCAACCATGGGAATGCAGCTTCTGACGCTGCTCCGCTGCCAATCCGCGGATTAGACTCCAAGTCAAAGGCTTGGGGGGTGGTCCCTTAAAGAAACCACCTGCTTCGGTTTGGGCGCCCGGGCAGTCAAGTGTAAGTAAGTGTAAAGATTGAGAATTACCGTTCACTGCTGCTGCTGCTGCTGCTGCTGCTGGAATAGTGTTTAATTACTCTAGTCATCTCGTATACAGGAGTCTCTGATTGTTTTCATTCATCATGTATTCAATTTCCTATTAATGATGGTGTGATGGTTTATTCATCACAGGTAAAATCTGTTATAATGTTGTAGATTAGCGGACTGCGTTCTATTTCCCGTGTAAAGTGGCATAATAAGGTGAGTAACATGGAGGTTAGGCGTACAGTTCTAGGTAAACAGGGGAAATCTATCGACGAAGTCATGAAGCTACATCGACTGAGATGGTTAGGACATGTGTTACGTATGCCAAGTCATCGCCTCCCTCGACGAGCTATGTTAGCGGATATAGGGTCAGGCTGGAAAAAAGCTAGCGGCGGTCAAACAAAAACTTGGCATCAGTCAATGAAATCCACAACAGTTGGTCTTAGCCACGTAGGAAGGTGTAGACTTCCAGGCTGGGGTACTCGGGACGGTAAAAATCTATGGTTGGAAACAATTGGTGACATGGCTCATAACCGTTCTCAGTGGCCCAGATGCATCCACTCCTTGTGACTTATGATCTCCAATGAAACTGTTTTGTTATTCTTTATTCTCCTTTGTCTCAAACCTCTCCTCACTGTTTCTATTATGCTTTTCTTGTACTTTCTTCTCTTGCTTCGCGTGCTACACGGAATGTGGCGGCTTGAACTTCCGCACATTTGTGCAAAGTTCTATGTCGAAAACAGACGGACAGACAGACAGATTAGCGGACTGCGACCGTTTTTCGATAACAAGACAAATGTATTAAAATTTAATTTGTGGATGGTGACTAGCAGTGGAATCCAGGATGCACATTTCGTCCTATTTGGGGACGGATGTACCTGAATTTCTCAGTGGCGCAGATGCATCCACTCCCTGTGACTTATGATCTTCAATGAAACTGTTTTGTATTTCTTTATTACTCCTTTGTCTCACACCTCTGCTCACTGTTTCTATTATGCTTTTCTTGTACTTTCTTCTCTTGCTTCGCGTGCTACACGGAATGTGGCGACTTGAACTTCCGCACATTTGTGCAAAGTTCTATGTCGAAAACAGACAGACAGACAGAATTTCTCAGTGAGTGATGATGTTGCCATCGAGGCTCGAACCCATTGCCCATAGTTTGAAACGCCAAAGCGTTACCCACTATATTACTTGGGCCATGAGAGCCACCTCTTGTGCAACGGGTCATATTAATTTAATTGAATTTTTTAGATTTTCCCGTCGATTGATTGGACCGAAGTGCTCGGTCTCGGTCTCAGGTTGACATTGGCTTCTTTTGCAGATGCTTCGACGATGTCTGGGCATTTAATTAGACTAGCAGTGGAATCCAGGATGCCCATTTCGTCCTATTTGGGACTTGTCATTTGGATATACCTGCATTTCCCAGTGTATTCCTCGAATTGTTGGCATTCATCTGTTGAAAGTTCAAACAGAACATGACTTCTTAAAGATATGTCCCTGTGAAGCTCCACAACACGAGAACTGATGGCCATTCGGTCATTGGGACGGATATTATTTGCATTAGGACTTTCAATATATGTAATTTATATAAATCCAGATGTAATCTTTAAAATAAAAAACGCGTTATTTCTTTTCTAATGCTTTTAAACTTGTGCTTCTTCTGTAATCACTACCTTTTATTTGTTAATAGATTCGCTAATGAAGTAGCTGGCGTCCCAGATCTTGGCACTACTGGTCGTGGAAGCTCTCTCCAGATTGGTACATATATTGACAAGCCTTTCTTTAGTGAACTGTCCGGTAATGTCATTGACCTATGTCCTGTTGGTGCTTTGACGTCTAAACCTTATGCATTTACCGCACGACCATGGGAGACAAGACGTATTGAGTCAATTGATGTTATGGATTCGATTGGTGCAAATATTGTGGTCTCTATGCGTACGAATCAAGTTTTAAGGATAATTCCGAGATTGAATGAAGTTAGTTACTGTTCCCTTAAAGTTACCTTATGATATTTTCGTATAATATACCTAGTGCAAATGTTTGTAGTCTTAGTTATAGGAACATTGGTTCCTAACTCTTTAGGAGCGAACAAAATCTCAGTTTGTTTTATAATTTAATGTTTGTTTTTTGTCCGTTTCTGATTTACTCACTTTTATGTGGCATAAAATTGGACACATTCCCTCAGCTTTCTGGAGTTCTAGTAAAAAGTCGTGACCTGTGAGATCCATCCAGTCAAGTGTGAGAATGGATGTCGCGCCGATAGAACTGGTTGATGGTCGCGCTAAATCACGAATTGGTAGAACTTAAAATTCATGCGTTGGCCATTGAATCGGGTCCCAGTGAATGAATGGTATACGAGTTTGACTTGTAACCAGAAGATCCTGGGTTCGAACTCTGGTTGTGGGTGCGTATTGCCTATGATTCGCAGACTAGGATGAAACAACTATCCAGTACTCCGTGGTTTTCAATGGTTCTCTAACTGATTATTTATATCTTGCATCAATCCGCGGTCGAACTCGTTAAAAACATTCCCTCAGAGCTCTATGACTTCATCTGTTTTTCAATTCTATCTATGACACCTAGTACAAATACTGGGGATGATATTTATAAGTCAGTTTGGTTGATTACTCACATATTTCTTCCTGAAATTTGAGCTATTCTGTAGATTACTTTACTTTATTCCTTTAAGTTCCGAGTGGGACAAAGAGCTTCGAGCTAGAGTTTCAAAGTTTTGGTAGCAGCGGTTTCATTCATATGGGGTGGGATTGCTGGTCTCACGCTCAACTTCTTTCTTCTTTACTGGCCTTAACAAGTTTTTGGAGTGGGTCGGCCGAGGATTGAACCTCGGACCACGTGCGTGGTTGGTGAGCGTTCTACTGCTGAACCATCAACGGACTTTTTCTGTGGAATATCAAGATATTAGATTTAGGTATTATTTAGAGAAAGGCTTATTGTCTCATGACTAGCAGATAATAAGATACACTTGGTTATTGTTATTTTGACTTTCATTTTTCACCTAGTCACTAAAGTGACAGGCTGCACTACAACATATGTCTGGAATTCATTTTTATTCTTGATATCTTATGTACAATTCCTCTTACTGTCTTCTATCTTCCAGGTTTTAATGCTGTCACTAATATTTACGATAAGCCATAGTATTCACAACTTAATAATAGTTATTCGTGTGTTTCATTTATAGTTTCGTTACTCTTCAGGTTAGATGAGTGATGTCAAAATACATCTAATATAATAAATCAGAAAGGAATTAGTGGATTCAGGAACGGAAAAGCAATAGGAAGTAGTTGGAGATACTTTATGCACGTTGGATTGAAAGTTTAAAGAAACGTTCTTATCTAGTATACAATTGGTGGATGGTGGCTAGCAGTGGAATCCACCAATTGTATACTAATTAAATGCCCAGACATCGTCGAAGCATCTGCACAAGAAGCCGACATGTCAACCTGAGATCGAGCACTTCGGTCCAATAAATCGACGGGAAAATCAAAATAATTCAATTCAAACGTTCTTATCGTTATCTGTGTAGTTATCGTGGTAAACAAAAGTCATGAAACTGTGGTTCACTCAAGACAGAGGGAAGATGTATATCTTTGTTTAAGGCAGTTCTATTTTCCAAGATGATTGATAGGACTGAAGTGTTCAGCCACTGTTGACATGTCGGCTCCTAGTACAGACATTTCAACGATGTCTAAGTACTAACGTGATGTTATTTGGTAGATGGTGACCACCAGTGGGATTTAAGGTGCGCATGTCATCCTATTTGAGTATCGTTATCTGGATGTACCTGCAGTCTCCAGAGGCCGAACACTTGATGTTCACTGCGCAAAAGGTACTTGTCATAGCTTTGGCGTTTGAGACAATGGGAACTGGGTTCGAGTCCCAGTGGGAAAAACAACACTCACTGGGAATCGCAGGTACATGCAGCCGATGAGTTCCAAACGGGATGGATGGCACATCTTGATCCGACTGTTAGTCACCATCCACCATACACCTTCCTAAATGGGAAGGTATATTTCCTTCCTAGTCCATTGTAAGCGAAAATTTCGAAACTGTGTGGATAATTGAGGCCTTCAATGCTATCAATGACTTTGGGCTTTTTCTTTTTATTGTGAGTAATTTAAGGAGTCCAATGATTGAAAACAAATCACCAAGTTGTTAAAAAAGGAACCTGTTGTCTTCAGAAGGAAACTGTGGGCAAAACAGTCACCTAGTCCACCATGTTAGCGACACATTAAAACTTACACTAGCCAGGTTTGTAAGTGATGCAAGACTTTGAGTAAGACATTGAGTAAGTGGAATTGACTCAAGAATTCTTTGTTAAATGTATAATATCAAGTTTTGATAATAATTGTTTGTTTAGCAAGCGACGTCCACAACCGTTCGGTAATCACGTTTCCATTTTTACTAATAAAGTCATTCAGTATTATATACTTGCCATGGTTAGTAGAGAGTAAAAAAACGATAAATTTCTTTTGAACACATTCAAGCAAAATGAGCACTTTTGCATGAACAATTCATCCTCAGATGTACATAACATTTGGAATAATCACATGCCAGTTGAGGTTGCCACAGTGCATCAAAGTAGCAGTGCAGAAGTGAAAATATAGTCATCGGAAATAGTAGAAAGTCATTTAACCAAAAAGAAATCAATAAAATATTCTACTATTATTTGTATTTAATTTTATGCATTACTTTCTGTGCTTACTTATGAGTAGGTGGTCTTGAATAATCAAAGTTTCAGGGCAATCATTAAAAAAATCACGCTACTTAAGACTAGAGCAGAAGTTGTAATTAAAATATGTAATCACTGAGTTATGATGATTTGTTGACTAACAGTTTCTGGTCATAATATACAGTAAAGCGGAGTTTATCGAATATTGTGATGAAACCACATACTACTGATCTATTGAGGTGATTGGCAGTATTATAGCATTGACATCTACCAGTGGCGTTTGTGCTTGCCCAATTAAGATGATCCGAACACAACAGCCTTTGTTCACTCGTTTGGGGCTGCACTCATCAGCATTGTACCCGGCTTTGACTCATGTTGACCACTTCACCTACTTGGGAAGTTGTATTAGCACCAACGGACTGGTTGGCGATGAAATCTCAACACGGATCCGAAAAGCTCGAGCTGCTTTCGCTGACTTACACCATCTCTGGCGTAGGCGTGACATCCGGTTATCAACCAAGGGACGTGTGTACTGCTCATTAGTTCGCTCCGTCCTTCTCTATGGCTCTGAAACATGGCCAATACGCGTTGAAGACGTGAAAAGGTTGACTGCTTTCGATCATAGATGTCTGCGATCTCTGTCTCACGTTAGGTGGTTTAATAAGGTAAGTAATGTTGACGTTAGGCGTAGAGTGTTGGGCAAAGAGGGAAAATCAATCGACGAGGTTACAAAGTTACATAGACTAAGATGGCTAGGTCACGTGCTGCGCATGCCTAACCACCGCCTCCCCCGACGGGCATTGTTAGCTGATATAGGTTCAGGTTGGAAAAGAGCCAGTGGTGGCCAAACAAAAACATGGCATCAATCCATGAAATCCTTGACAGTTAAACTGAGTCAGGTAGGGAGATGCAGACTCCCGGGTTGGGGCCCTCGGGACTCTAGGAATCAATGGCTGGAGACAACAGGTGACATGGCTCAAAATCGTTGTCAATGGCCAGCGCAGATGTATTCAGTCTCTGTAATCTTTCATATTCCTTTCTACCATTACCCATTCTGTTTCACTCTTATATTTGTCAAACTCTATTAATTCTCTCCACTCATCTTCTTGTCTACCTCTGTGTGCTATTTGGAACGTGGCAACTCGAACTGCTGCACTTCGGTGCCAAGTTCTATGTTGAATCCAGACAGACAGACAGACATCTGAGATTGGTTATCCACAAAATTATATCAAAAAGTGTATAAAGTCGAATCAAAACACCAACAAAGAACCATCATCAAAGACCTCAAGAAAATTCATCCTACCATGCATGAGAAATATCTCTGAAATAACAGCTAGAATACTGAAACCGTTTGATATACATGTAGTACAAAAGCCAGTCAAATCGCTCAAATCAATATTATGCAAACCGAAAGATCCAATAGAAAAACGAGATAAAATTAATACCATCTACAAAATAAATTTTATGTACGAACTGTAACAGGCATTACATCGACCAAAGTGCGCGTCCCCTTCGAATTAGAATCCAAGAACACAAATCAGCCGGGAAAAGACACGATATATGTTCTTTAGTATCAATGCATATAGGCAATTATTGACATCAGTTTGATTGGAATAATGTCGAAATATTAGACAGAGGAAATACCAAAAGTGCCAAAGAATTCCTGAAAGCGTGGTACTCTAACGAGTATGCGATTAACAAATATGTTAGCATGGACCAAATCTACCAACTAATAAAAAGTAAATCATATGATGAGAAAGTTTCAAATCCAAGTTAATAAAAAGTGGTCAATACATATGTAAAGATAGTTACCGGGAGACGCGATTATATCACTCATGACGAAAAATTTAAATCATTTCACTTCATGCTAAATACTGCGCTGACGATGTTGTCTAGAAGGACGACGAAAGCTCCGCATCTAAACCAACCAGCTCAGAGAAGACTATTATTTGCAAATCATTCACCTGAGCTACAAATTTCTATTATTTCAAAGTCTAATCTATTCGAACCATCCGGTTTTGATCGTTTTGATCTGACCGGGGAAACTAGCGGTTGTTGTTAGTGGTAGACAAGTATTTATCTCAGCCAAGCAGTAGTATATTATTTTGTGCAAATATTTGCTGGGGTTTTTAATTGATATTTATAATATGAAGCAAATTGAATAGTGTGGGTTGATGAATAACTTCAGTTTTTCAAAGGAAATTAGGGTGGAATTTCACCTTGAATGAACTGTGTAAATTGCAAATTAGTTTACTAGTCGTGAATTTTATTTATGAATATTTTGTGATGCCTTTATCTTCCCCGATTTCTCTAGTAAATCTTTTGTGTTAAGCATTTTTATCTCTTGTTTCTACGGATATCTGGTGTTCCTCAGGGTGCTGTTCTTTCTGCCTTTCTGTTTTCGTTTTTCTTACATGACTTGGCTCATTCTGATGTAGCCACTTTTGTTAAGTATGCCGATGACCTCTCTGTTTCTATGCCTGTCAACTCTCAGTCAGATTGTTCCAAATTAAGTAACTTTCTGTCGGAAGTTAGTCAGTGATCCTCTTCAAACGGACTTAAGCTTAATCCGTCTAAATGTCAGGTAGTCAATTTCACTTTCAGACGTAAACGCGACCTACAGCAACTAGTTAGCCCACATGGCCCCACTATCATTGACGGCACAGAGGTTGAAAATACATCTAATGTCCGGTACCTTGGGCTGAGTTTTTCCACCGATCTTTCCTGGTCCTCCCACATCTTCCTAGTTAGTTACTAGAAAGATGTTTCGCTTAACGTTCTACATTAGGAAATTTAGGCAGTCTGGCATAAAGCAGTCTTTGCTTTCTCATTTTGTAAATTCTTTTATTCTACCCATCCCTTTTTACTGCTCCGCATTAATCTTTCCTGGACTACTTAAGAAAGACTTTGCTTTGCTGAAAAGGGTAGGCACTAAAAGCCGTTAGTAGGGCAAATGGGATATCGTTAAACCAACTGGTTAACACTATTGTGGATAGACATATAATGTCATGTAAGAAACTAGCGAATACAGTATTGTCGGACCCCGAGCATCCTCTCTATACGCAGCTGTCTCCTTGCATTTCATCTGGTAGAACTAGAAGCAGCTATAGGAGGCTATATGCTAGGACTACCAAATACGAAAACTCCACAATATCATATCTGGCACAGCTGTTATGTGATGAGAAACCCGTTAGATATGACACAATCAACTTACTGCGGGACTCTAACAAATAGTCCCATTAGTTTTTGTTCTCCTTTCCTCGTTACTATTACACTGTTGTTCTCATCTTCTATCACACATCAACTTTATATTTCATATCCTGTGGTGCATTGTTTGAAATGTAAACTCTACGCTGTGTTTTTATTTTATTTTTATTTATCTTTTATTTTTTTTGGCGTTGGTTTTTATTTATTTATTTTTTTTAATTTTAAAAATCTTATAAAATTTATGAGGTAATTAGATGCAATATATTGTAATGCACGCTGAAAATTCCATACCTGTACCACAAATACTGTTTGGAATAAAGCTGTTAATATTATTATTATTATTATTATTTTACTAAGCAGTATACTAGTGTTATAAAAAGCATTGATTAATACACAAATCCCTTTCCCATCTTTCTAAAAACAAAATCTTATCCAGGATGTGAATGAAGAATGGCTAGCCGACAAATCTAGATTTGCCTATGATGGTTTAAGTCGACAGCGTTTAGTTGTTCCAATGGTGAAAAAGTCTGGTAAGCTAGTTGAAAGTACATGGGAAGAGGGATTAATTGAAATTGCGAAAAAAATACTTCCCATATATGAGTCGTCGAAAGAAACAACATGTAAAGAAAATCAAATAGCTGGACTAGTCGGTCCATTTGCAGATGCAGAATCAATGACAGCTATGAAGGATTTAATTAATCGATTCAATTCAGAGTTGGTATGTACTGAAGAAAGTTTTCCAACTGACAGGTAGGTTTTTTGGCCTTGTATGTTGAAGGTGTTTTGCACTCATCACTTGTCAAGTGTTGATAAATTTACCTTACTCTCTGTTGTACTAATCTGTTTGTAGTCAGTGTATGCGCCTTTAGCGATTTTATAGCCTTTTATTATTACTTAGATCTACATAAATTCTGATTTCAGATTTGATCACGGATTGATATCAGTTAGACGACTATTGGAAACCAGTCCTTTCGTCCCATTCGGAAGTTCTTCATTAGTACGCACCCATGACCTCGCCGGGAATGTAAACATAGGCCCATGAACCATTGGATTCCCTCAAAGTGGCCGGATATTCAACAGACTCGCGTCTTAGCCTGAAAGTCCTAGGTTCGATCCCCACTGGCCTCACGGGTGCATACTGTTGAAGAGTCCCATAGTAGGATGGAACAGCTGGTTTTCAATAGTTCTGTGACTGGTAGAACTTAAAACTAATCAATTCTCTACAGGCTTGAAAATTTTAATTTTTATCCTTTGACATATTAACATACTTTAACTGATTTTCCCATCGTATGTGCAAATGATAATTCTAACTGTTACCTTGTTTCATTCCTCAACAGTTGACACCAAATGCTGTAGGACTTCCGCATTAATAAATTTCAGTGGTGTTTTAGTTCCTTTCCTCTCTTAGCTTGATAAAATATGTGTTCTTATTTTCGAGACATGTTTGAAATAAGTGTTAGAAACAGACCAGAAGGAAAATAATAACTACATGTGATATCTTTTAATGTAGTGCATGATTAGTAAAGGTAGAATACAGACCTGTCTCTCAGCAGGACTCGAAACTTTGACTTACAGACTGTTATCCTGGTCCTGGTCCGACGAACTACACGACGCAAACTCCAGCCAGGTTTAGAACTGGTTTCCATTTAATCGTTTTCACCCATTACATCACCATTCGCCTGTCGACTCAAGCCTTTCTCAGAGAATCTCAGCATCGGTTATATATTTTTTTTATCAAACTATTTCAAATAGTTCATAACAACATTTAACTAAGAATCTTTTATACGGTATTATTTTGCTGGCATATTTTTGATATGGTGTATATTGTTAGTATGTGGTTGGCTGATGTTCAAAATAGTAGCTTTAAACCATTTTTGGTGCTTTTTTCATGGGCTACATATATATATATATATATATATATTTCCACAGAGTTGAGGCATAATGGATTGCTATAATTATGGGTGTAATGTAATCGAAGTTTACCGAAAAAGAACAAGATTAGCTATAAAATATTGTGATAGGGGCCTAGATTATAAGATTCTAACGTATACCGATTTTATTTTTGTAAAGTATTATTTAATCTCAAATGATTGCTTTGATTTAGATGTCACATGTCAAATTTACTTAACTGAATTCTGTCAGTTAAAACGACTTTCCTTAAACAGTTTTGTAATCTTTTTTTGATTGGTGAAGTTTCTCTTAATAGGTGTGTTAATCTAAATGCTGTTGTTATCATAAAAGTCTCCAGTCTTCAAGGCTCTCTTTCTCTAAACATTTATGTACTGCTTTCAGAGTTTACTATGCACTGATCTTTAACTAATACTGAATTTAAAATTGAGGTGGCAGAATAAGGCTTATCACTGATGACTACGATATCATCTACATACCTTCTATAAAGTGGCACAGTTTCGATTAAATCCTCCGATAAATTCTCAATGTACGACATATAAATATCTGCTAAAAGGGGCCCTAACGGACTGCCCATAGCAACACTATCAACTTGGCGGAAACAATCGCCTTCAAATGTAAACCTAACATTGTTAGTACATAGAAGTAATAAATCCCTTAAGTAAGCTATAGGGAATGGGATGAAAAAATTTACTGAATTTGACAGAATGCAGAGAAAGTCATCTTATTGGTTAGATTTTCTTTGCATGCCACCCGTAGTCTTTCTTGGGTATTTGTCACTGGATAGTCACTGTTTTTGATTACAGCTTTATTCCACACCGTATTTTTGGTACAAGTATGAACTTTTCAGCATGTGATATCGGTAGCCCAAATTTTGCAGGCCGACCATAGATATCAGGTGTGCGTCGGCAGGGCACCGAACCTCGGAGCATGTGGATGGTCGGCGAGAGTCCTAACCACTGTGCCACCGACGCACTTGCATTTTCTTGCAATTAGTTATAGACTTCACTACTATTCCATGATGACTGATAGTAAATAAATAACATTTTTATCCGATAAACGTTTGCATGGGACATATTTTGTACAGTAAAGTAAGCACATCTGTAGACTTCTAGGGAAAATATTCAAATAACTGTAAGTCTAACTGTTCATAGACAGGAATATTGTGAGATCTGAATGACGTTTTTTGTGGAGTTGATTTAAAGTGGCAAAGCACGTGTGTCAGAGTTATAAGTGGAATACTTACTGAGTGGAGAGGACAACTTACAAAGCAATCATTACTGATAACTATTTTACAATTAAAACATAAATTGGAATAAAACACACCAAACTAACTAAGAAAGACTTTGATTCCGAATGTGCTTCTTTTGAATAGAAGTTCCAGAATTCATCAGTGTAATGGATGCCATAGGATGAAGATGATTTTGTTCTGGAATAATTAGTTAGCAGTCGTTTTGTTACTTAACTTACCACTCATCTTACTACTGATGAGTTGTTCAATCACAGTTGTTTGGAAGAGATTCCACATGTACCGCGTTATGTGCCACTTTTGTTGTATGAGGTCTGATAGTATTACGCAGTTGCCTAGGCTGAGGTGCGTAGGGCAGGATTCTAACCTTGGATCCGTCTTGCTTAAAGTTGACCGCATAAGTCAATGATTTACAAGTGTTCCATCATATAACGACATTCTTCCCTCTAAATAGTTAAACTTTCATTTGTTTCAGGACTTCGATTGTACTGTAGAGATGCATGTCTATTCTACTTTACAAAGACTGTCATGCTGAAAGGTCGTATCGAACAAGGGTTTATTTAAAATACACATTTCCTCATTATCTGTTTTCCCACTTTCTGCAATGACTTTCACCTTAAAATGCATGTTTAAGTCATGATTTAATTTTATTTTTCAGCACAACAATTGACTCAGTGGTTTTCGGTTACAATGTATTTATTTTCTCTGTGTAAATTATTTTTATTTACCTTCATAGTGTGGATCTGCGTACGAATTACATATTCAATAGTCATATTGCTGGTATTGAGGAGGCGGATCTTGTTATACTTATTGGTACTAATCCACGTTTTGAAGCACCTTTGCTTAATGCACGTTTACGTAAATGTTGGGTGCATAACGATTTGGAAATTGTATTGCTAGGACCAAAAGTTGATTTAACTTACGATTATGAAGTAAGACCTTATAATATGACATGTTGTTATTTAAATGTTTTTTTTATGTTTTCCTGCATACATTTTAATAGATTATTTGCGAAAAGTGAGAATTTATAAAGTACACTTTAGAGTTATCTAATTCACAAATCGTGTTTCTACGTCTTCACGTATATTCTATAGAAGATGAAAACTTGTTTTAAGTATGTATATATGTGAGTGGCAGTAATTTTTGATATTCAGCCTTTTAGTGACATTTGAATTAGACGAGTTGAAATAATAATCGCCAGTACGTTATATATCGAGAAATTTTTATATCCGATGAGTTGTAAGTTTGAGTAGCATGCCTTTCTTCTATCGACCAAAGGGCGTGTGTACTGCTCATCAGTCCTCTCCGTCCTCCTTTATGGCTGTGAGACCTGGCCATTGAGAGTGGAAGACATGAAAAGCCTGGCTAGCTGTCTTTGATCATAGGTACTTGCGTTCTATCTCCCGTGTGAAGTGGTATAATAATGTGAGCAATATTGAGGTTAGGCTTCGGTCGAATGCTAGGTAAGGAGGATAAATCAATCGACGAGGCTGTGAAATTACATCGACTGAATTGGATGGTTAGAACATGTGTTACGTATGCCTAGTCATCGTCTTCCTCTATGGGCGAAGTTAGCTGACACAGGGTCAGGCTAGAAAAGAGCTAGCGGCAGTCAAACCAAAACATGGCATCAGTCAATGAAATCCATGGAGGGAGTGTGGCGACTTGAACTTCCGCACATATGTGCAAAGTTCTATGTCGAAAACAGACAGACAGATTGGCACTGTACTTAAAGCAATCAAATATTACGCTGAACTCTGAGTCGCATTCTTTGTGAGATAATAAGATGTCTATCCAGGACTATAAAATGTCAAATTAAAATCTTATATTTTTTTGTTAGTTCAACTTTAGAAATATTGGATTGATCTGGTTACTTGTCGACACCTTTTCTTAATTGTGGCTCACAGGACATTCAACTTCATTTTGGGACAGAGTAAAAGATGAATTTAATCAAACAGCTGTATAGTTTGTTGCTAAAAAAATAAACGCTCAGATATATTCATCACATTAGTGAGAGGGGTGGCTAAACTAGTCGGAAAATCATGTCGGGTGTATATATATTGGTCCCGAACTGACAAATTTACGATTCTGTTCCTATCACTCACTATATGTTCTTGTTGAGTTTTAATTTTGAACATTAGAAGATATATTGTCTCACTTGCAATCAGCCAACATCATACAAACGCAGCTGTATCACTTTGCAATAAATTGTCAATGTTGATGGTCGGTAAACGATTGTTACTCCTTCTGGAATATCTGCGTGTAGTCTGATCGTGCACTCAGTGCATCTAATGTGTTTGTGACTGGATGTATGTAAAGACCCTTGTTTTTCAATGAAGATATCATAATTCTGTTCAGTGAATTAGTCAAACATGCATCTGAAGACGATGATGTGATAATTATCCTAAGAAATCATCGTATCATATTCAATTCTGCTGTAATAGCAGAGGTAATAATAAGTGACACAGCGAAGCCAAATGATAGGAAAAGTTAGAGTATTTCTTTAGCCTATTCTGAAGTATTCCAAGCAGGGCTACGAACATTATCCGGAACGAAAGCTGATTTCGCGTAGAATGACTGAAAGTCTTTTTAAAAAAATGCGAATGGTAATAGGTCACGAAGGCGAAAGGATTAGAAAAGGCATCTATGCTGGTTAATTCTTTCTAAAATTCCTGTAGTGAGTGAAGCGATCTTCGAAAAGAATAAAACTTTAGTAGCTTTTGGGAGATGTAGCTTAAAACGTTAGGATGAACACTGGGAAACAGTCCAGCTTACCTACGGCTTCACTTAAGCTGACTACCTTATGACCCCTGCATGAATGGGATGTAGACATCGGTTATCCAACTGTAACCGAGGTTGTGGAAGCTCTTTTTAATTCAAAACATAGCAAAACAGGACTTGATGGTTTAAACTTCCGTAGTGTTTGAGAATGGTGGTGATGAATTATTGAGTGAGGTTTTAGCTTTCATAATCCGAAACAGTTTAAACCAGACTTGTTGATTAAATAAGCTTATAGGAAAGCGGCAGAATAGGTTTGAAAAAAGTCTCAGGAATACATGAAGAGTTATTCGGCGTCTACCAACTTGTGTCCTTTCTAGACTGACTATCGAAAACAGTGCCTGCTGCTCAGCAATTGACTTTGTACAGTTTTTAACTTTGTGTCAAGTAGAAGGTACAAAAAGGTTACTCACATTACGCGGAATATCATAGTAAGTTACGCGTCTGGAATGTGCGTTACACATATCTGTCTACTGGGTCTCCTCATTTAATTATGTCACCAGAAGCAGAATTAGGTCAAAAACCAGCTGAAAGTGACACAACGAAAACATTGTGCTAATCCATAAAAGTTTGAGCTAGATGGGAACCCACAGATTCCTTGGTTTGTGGTCTTTAGATTGACAAGAGCCATAATTCAAAAATTTATTGTGATGTGGTCCAAATTCATTCACACTAGCTCATATGTATTGATGCTTCGTGATCTTTCAGAATTTCAGAAAATCCGCACCAGTCCTCATTTTAATAATTTCATGCTAGAACTCTTCTAAGAAAGAATAAGGCTGTGTTAGGATTAATAAATATGTATAAGTCGCGCGGTTGAAGCCCTATTTTCCTCTAGGAATTACAGGAAATAATAATGTAATAATAATAAGTGGTTGACGGTGAATTCATTTTCCCAGTAATGTTACATGTAACCAAACAGTTTATTTAATTGGTGGATGGTGACAAGCAGTGGAATCCAGGATGCACATTTCGTCCTATTTGGGAGTCGTCAGCTGAATGTATCTGCATTTCTCGGTGAGTGACGATGTTCCCACCGAGGTTTGAACCCAGTGCCCATAGTTTCAAACTCCAAAGCGTTATTTACTAGACCACTTGGGCCACGAGAGCCACCTATTGTGCAACGGGTCATATTAATTCAATTGAATCTTAGATTTTCCCGTCGACTGGTTGGACCGGTGCCGACATGTCGGCCTGAGACCGAGCACTTCGGTCCAATAAACCGATGGGAGAATCTAAGATTCAATTAAATTAATATGACCCGTTGCACAACAGGTGGCTCTCGTGGCCCAAGTGGTCTAGTGGATAACGCTTTGGAGTTTGAAACTATGGGCCCTGGGTTCGGGCCTCGGTAGGAACATCATCACTCACCGAGAAATGCAGGTACATTCAGCTGACGACTCCCAAATAGGACGAAATGTGCATCCTGGATTCCAGTGCTAGTCACCATCCACCAATCACATACTAAATGGCCCAGACAGCGTCGAGGCATCTGTACAAGAAGTCCACATGTCAACCTGAGACCGAGCACCTCGGTGCAATCAATCGACGGGAAAATCTAAAATTCAATTAAAACAGTTTATTGTTCTATTTCGTAATAAGTGAGAAGGATTCTCAAAGATTTTATTATACATTTGGATAGGCTGAATGTCTTAAATATTTTAAAATGTAAAATTGTACATTCCACCTGTTTTATCGTTTGATCATTATGTAGATAAAAGATGTTGCAACATGCAGATTAGAATTTGTAAATTATGGTCAAAGTAAATAATAAATAAGTTTTCCGTAGGAAATAGTTTCATTTCAAATATAATAAAGGAAATTTTTAGGATTGTAAAAAGAATTTATGCGTGATGTGTTGTACTTCTTTATTTTTTCAATATTTCAGCATCTTGGTGATCAACTCGATGCTCTACAATTAATAGCTTCTGGAAAGCATCCACTGAATAAGGTAAATTCTGTTCAATTGTAATACCAGTTTTACTGTTTTTTTTTGTGATAAAATCTTCATAGACTTATATTTTGATATCCGGCTATCAACCTAAGGGCGTGTGTACTGCTCTGCAGTTCGCTCCGTCCTCCTTTATGACTGTGAGACTTGGCCATTGAGAGTGGAAGACATCAAATATTAGCTGTCTTTGATTATAGGTGCCTGTGTTCTATCTGCCGTGTGAAATGGTATAATAGAGTGGCTAGGCGTCGAGTGGAGGGTAAATCGATCGACGAGGCTGTGAAGATGGTTAGGACGCGTGTAACGCATGCATGTCTAGCCATTACCTTCCTCGAGTGGAAACGTTAGCTGACTGACATAGGATGGAATAGGTTGGAAAAGAGCCAGCAGCGGTCAAACCAAAACAAGGCTTCACCAGTCAATGAAATCCAGAAAAGTTAGTTTAAGCCAGTCAGCCACGTAGGAAGGCGTGAACTTCCTGTTTGGTGTCCTCGGGACAGTAAACATCAATGGCTGAAGACAATCGGTGATATGATTCAAAATCGTTCTCAATGGCGCAGATACCTCCACTCCTTGTGACCAATGAAATTGTATTGTTCTTCCATATTACTTTTCTTTTTGCCTCAAATCTCTGTTTACTGTCTATATTTTGCGTTTCTTTTTACTTTCTTCTGCTGCTTTGTGTGTTGAGTGAAGTGTGGCGACTCGAACTGCTGCACACCGGTGCAAAGTTCTATGTTGGAACCAAACAGACAGACATTTTGACTGTAGTGAAAGAGAGAATGCAGCCATGTCCGAATTTCGTGTCTGTGTTAAACTCAAGCCAATAGCTATTGAAGTATATCTGTTTATTCAAGTATATGCGGTTTATAGCATTTTTCAGAAAATAAGGAGTATGCACATCAGCGACTCAGCTGTAGAATACTTAGCTACAACTCACGTGCTCTGGAGTGTGATTCCTGACTGATGCACTCCTAAACCTCACCTAGCTGACGGCAAGCCCGAAAAAGAGTGAAGGTTGGGCGTAAGGCTGCCAAACTCATCCTATAAAAAACAGTACCATTAGTACTGTGACTCAAAGGCCTTAAGCATGAAGACCTATGTTTCACTCTGAACTCAAGAGATGAAAAAAAGAAAGCATGTTTTAATAAACGGTTAGAGTCTAAAATGCTCAGTAGCATGTACCACTGCTCTACGTGCAGTGATCAATGGGCACGTAACACTACTTGTATCTGCAGTTATATAAAATAGAGTTTCGGAATACCGATGTTGCAAATCTCGTATTAGACAAAATTAACATAGGAACTTGGAAAATAAAGTGCATTGGTGGCACAGCGGTTGGGACTCTCGCCGACCATGCACATGGTCCGGAGTTCGACTCCCCGATATCATTGGTTGGCCTGCAAAATTTGGGCCACCGATATCACATGTTGAAAATTCCATACTTGTACCAAAAGTGCTATGTGGAATCAAGCTATAATAAAAGAAAAACAACAACAACAACAAAAAGAACGAGTACATTGTTTGTTACGAACAGTGATTTTAGTTACAAGTGTGAATGAACACTAGTGTTTTTCATTTAGTTGTTTTATTATGGTCTCTCTTGTTATTTGGTAATTATATTTGCGTGATTGGTTTACACTGTGGTCATTTCTTATCGTAATCAATCGCTTTTACTTAAATTAACCCGGTGATAGTTGTGCCAGTCTAATCAATCAATCAGGCGTGACATCCGGTTATCAACCAAGGGACGTGTGTACTGCTCAGCAGTTCGCTCCGTCCTTCTCTATGGCTCTGAAACATGGCCAATACGCGTTGAAGACATGAAAAGGTTGACTGCTTTCGATCATAGATGTCTGCGATCTCTGTCTCACGTTAGGTGGTTTAATAAGGTAAGTAATGTTGACGTTAGGCGTAGAGTGTTTGATAGGTAAAGAGGGAAAATCAATCGACGAGGCTATAAAGTTACATAGACTGAGATGGCTAGGTCACGTGCTGCGCATGCCTAACCATCGCCTCCTCCGACGGGCATTACTAGCTGATATAGGTGCAGGTTGGAAAAGAGCCAGTGGTGACCAAACAAAAACATGGCCTCATCAATCCATGAAATCCTTGACAGTTAAACTGAGTCGGTCAGGTAGGGAGATGCAGACTTCCGGGTTGGGGGCCTCGGGACTCTAGGAATCAATGGCTGGAGACAATAGGTGACATGGCTCAAAATCGTTGTCAATGGCCAGCGCAGATGTATTCAGTCTCTGTAATCTTTCATATTCCTTTCTACCATTACCCATTCTGTTTCACTCTTATACTTGTCAAACTCTATTGGCGTCGGTGGCACAGTGGTTAGGATTCTCGCCGACCATGCACATGGTCCGGGGTTCGAGCCCGCACCGACGCACATCTGATATCTATGGTCGCCCTGCAAAATTTGGGCTACTGATATCCATGCTGAAAATTTCATACTTGTACCAAAAATACAGTGTGGAATCAAGCTGTAAATCAAAAATAAATAAAAAAAAAATAAAATTGATTCTCTTCACTCATCTTCTTGTCTACTTTTGTGTGCTTTTTGGAACGTGGCAACTCGAACTGGTGCACTTCGGTGCCAAGTTCTATGTTGAATCCAGACAGACAGACAATCAGCTAATATACCTTTTTTCTTTGCCCTGATTTATAACTGGCAAACGTATTCGTTTTTAAATAAATTTTAACTGTCTTGTATCACAAAAAAAGTGAGAATGAGTTTTTCTGTTATGAAGGCTATTCAATTTTTTTCTTCTTTGATTTTATGATTTATTCGCATTGCATGTCTGAACCCACAGAAGTAATTTTTTTAATAAAAATTTTAAAATAGACTGATTCTTGTCGTTCATTTTTACTCCTAACAGTCTTTTATAAATCAAAGTGTTAATTTGTTGTTCATTCATTTGAAGGAAAAGCTAAGCGTCGAATGTATTCTAAACATATTCGACGTGTTTTTGAAATCTATCCTTGTCAGGGGTGTGAAACTAGTCAGGCTGGTGTTCATAAGCGCATATTCACTTGATTGTACATCATTTTTGTTATGCTTTATATATCTTACTGATGACCATCAGGTGAGTGAGGCAGTATCGTTGAAATTGATACAGAATACAAGTTATAGGTCAGATGGATTTGGTGGACGGTTCAATGACGAAGATTCTATTATCCATCTGGGCATCATCTTCACTTCGTTTTGAAGTGAACTTTCGTCATTATTGACGGATCAAATATTCATCCTTTGTGGTAGATAATCTTGACTGCGATTATACGTCCCTGAAGATTTTGAAAATGCCGGGAAAAAACATCAAGCAAATTGAATTCTTTTGACACTAGTAACTAGTGCGATGTGTCTAGTCCTTTCTTCGGTGCAGACTGAATGCTATCAGTCAGGTTTTCAATGTGGCCACCATTCTAGGTAGCTCGCCATCACGGTGCACATTGATTTTCTGATATTGGGTGGTTGGAGGCAATCGGTAGAAAGCTTTGTTTGCACCAAGGTTTCGTGCTAGTTAGCACTCACCAGTCAGCAAGGCGTGCATGCAACCTTGAAGGAACTCATGTCCCACCCCTCTGAGATTTGAACCCGCGACACCCAGTGCTGTAGTCAGAATCGTTACCACTGAGCTCAGTCGTGGGTCCAAGGCTTCCTGTGGCCGATTACCTCCAACCATCTAATATCATTAATTTCTTTTCAACTGGATCACACTGTCACTTTACTCACTGCTGTTATTACTATATTTACTCTGACCAACTTGTTTTCTTTATTTATTTTAACACTTGGAAATTTCCAATCTGTATTATCTTTGGTTAAAGAGTTTACAATCTGCCTCTCATCCAATCATCATTTTGGGAAGCGAATGTTTACAACGTTCAGATGCGAAAGCTATTCATAATACTGTACAACGTATTGCCACGAATCTCAAAGAGTCTAAAAAATTAGACTATCAAGTGTTCAACATACTTCATCGTGTAAGTACTTCTCTTTCTTTAATGTTCCTATCATAATAATCAACACTGCTTGTTTGTATTTTTTTTTACATCGTTTGTCGTTAGTTCTATTTTGTCAAATATTCTTCTTCGATCTAAGTTCACTCAGTCTTAATAAGGCGGTCTTGCTTACCTCTTTGTGCATTTGGTTTGCGACTACTAAAGTTTTGTCTAGGTTTTTTGATGAATTAATTCTGATAGTCGATCAATGAGTCGCTATTTCAATCCGTGCTCTGAACCTTCGAATAGTTTTAGCAACTAGGCGGTAGCCTCATCATCACCAGTAACACATTAGGTGTGGTTCATCTTCAAGTGCGCTGACATGTATGAAGTGTCTGGTTCATACTACTCGTAATTTTGAAGTAATGCGTTAGAGTTATGTCCCAGTTAAAAAGATTCGGACAACTAGGTTGATATGGCAGTTTACGTCATCTCGACCAAAGGGCGGGTATACTGCTCATCAGTCCTCTCCGTCCTCCTTTATGGCTGTGAGACCTGGTCGTTGAGAGTGGAAGACATGAAAGCCTGGCTAGCTGTCTTTGATCATAGGTGCCTGCGTTCTATTTCCCGTGTGAAGTGGTATAATAATGTGAGCAATATTGAGGTTAGGCTTCGGTCGAGTGCTAGGTAAGGAGGGTAAATCAATCGAGGAGGCTGTGAAATTACATCGACTGAATTGGATGGTTAGGACATGTGTTACGTATGCCTAGTCATCGTCTTCCTCTATGGGCGAAGTTAGCTGACACAGGGTCAGGCTGGAAAAGAGTTAGCGGCGGTCAAACCAAAACATGGCATCAGTCAATGAAATCCACAACAGTTAGTATGAACCAGCCACGTAGGAAGGTGTAGACTTCCTGACTAGTTGGTGTCATCGGGACAGTAAAAACCAATGGTTGGAAACAATTGGTGATATGACCGGCTGAAAATTGTTCTCAATGGCTGGCGCCGATGCATCCTCTCCTTGTGACTTGTGATTTCCAATGAAACTATATTGTTCTTCGTTATTACTCTTCCTTTGTCTCACACCTCTGTTTACTGTCTCTATTAAGGATTTCTTCTACTTTCTTCTGTTGCTTTGTGTGCTACACGGAGGGAGTGTGGCGACTTGAACTTCCGCACATCGGTGCAAAGTTCTATGTCGAAAACAGACAGAGGTTGATAAGGCTTATAGGACGTACGCTTCCTAAACTAATAAGCCATCCTGTATATTGTTGTTGAACCTTAGTTCTTATTCGTTATCAAGGTTTTTATTGTTACATTTGATGAAAGGTAAGTGTTATTTCTGAATTATATATATTTTTTTCTCTGCCATTTTTTTGACTTCACATATGCGCGTAAACATTTCAACTGATTTTTATAAAAAAAACAAGTCAAATTTGTACTGTAACCCGTAAACTTTGTTCCTTTTCGACAGTTAAAAAACTAAACAAGCAAACACTTAAACTCAAATAATACTGAAAAAATACCGCGTTTTGTTTTTTCAGTTAACGACACTCTGTGTATAGAGAAACTTGAAAAAAAATTGGTGCCTAGATTGATTTCAAAAGATTCACCAGGAAAAACTAAAGGCTAGGGTTGTCGGATCGTCTATCTTGACTAGAATGCGCCTCCAGAACACGATACCATAACCATCTGGAGCTCTACACTGAGACAGACACAAAATTCTGACTGAAAAATTGGCGACTGGAAGGATTACAACAACAACAACCTTTGCTAGACGAAAAACATCGTGTCTTATATCTATAAAACCTCAGAAATTTAAACTGTAATCAAATTAAATCTGATTGGTTGTGTCATCTTAGAAAATTAAGCCATAAATAAGCCATGATATCAATCCGTGATCAACCCGTAAAACATAAATAAGCCAATCAAAACTATCCAATAAGGTTATCATGTCAGTGCATGCATAAATGATGACTTCACATCGGAACAGTTACACAATTAAAAAAACTAGTAAGCATTTTGATCATCATTTTCATCTAGGAAGGTTTAATAGTACTTTGCGTAAACAGCTGACAGAAATTAATATCAGTAAAAAGTTTGAGCATTGGGGATTAGATCAAATAAAGTATAATTATATATCAATAATTTACACACAATGATAAGTTTTGTTATTGCTGACAGATATTTTTCTTCTACTTTTACTTTCTCTTTACTAATTAATGCTGTGTTGTTGTGCTGTAAATTTTCTTCATGTTTTTTTTTAATCTTTTTTAGTGTGCTAGTCAAGTAGCCGCTTTAGATTTAGGCTATACACCCAACTATGAATTAATCAAGCAAGCCAAACCCAAAGTCCTATTACTTTTGGGCGCTGATAGAAATTTAATCACACGTGAAGATTTAGCACCAGATAGTACTATAATATATATTGGTAAGTTTTTTTTTAAAAAATCATTGAAATTTTAATTTTATGCAAATGCCTGTCACTAAACATGTCATATATTTCCGAATCATACGGTTCGTGCCTCGGTGGTTCACTCGTAGAATGCCTGCCAACTACACGTGTGGTCTGCATCCCATTCCCAGCCAACGCACTTTCAAACCTTGCTTATTAGTGAGTAGTAAGCGTCGGTGGCACAGTGGTTAGGACTCTCGCCGACCATGCACATGGTCCGGGGTTCTAGCCCACGCCGACGCACACCTTGATATCTATGGTTGGCATGCGAAATTTGGGCTACCGATATCCATGCTGAAAATTCCATACTTGTACCAAATATACAGTGTGGAATCAAGCTGTAATCAAAAATAAAAAATGAAAAGGTGAAGGTTGGACACTGAGGTTTGCAATCTCATCCCGTCAAAAAAAACACATCGTGACTGAAACTTCAAAGCTGGATCTTGAAGCCTTATGGACCATTTAGAATGCAAGGGAATGAAAAACTTGTAAAGTTCTGAAATAGTAGAGAAGATTTGTAGCTCAGGCAGATGATTTTTAATTAGTTGTGTTCTCTGGTCTTTTTGATTTAATTGCAAAGCTTTCATCGTCTTTCTAGACAACATCTTCAACACGGGTTTTCGCATGCAATGAACTCATTCGAATTGTCCATTGAAGGATATAATTATGTCTCCTGGCAATTATTGTCGTGACTGGCTGTTGATTTACGTCTCTATGCTGATCATTTATATTCACTAGGAACCTAAACTTTCTTGTCATGTGATTTACTTTTTATTAACTGGTAAATTTTGGTCTATAATAATGTGTTTGTTAATTGCTGATTTACTTGGGTATCAAGCTTCTAGAAATTCCCTGGCATTTTTGGTATTTCCTCTGTTTAAAATTTCCACATTATTCCAATCAAATCGATGTCGATAATTACCTACGTACATTGATATGAAAAAATGTACATCGTGACTTTTTACATCTAATTTGTGTTCTTGAATTCGGATTCGAAGGGGACACTGACTTTGCGGCTCATACAATTTATTGTATAAACGGTATGAATTTTATCTTCTTTTTCTTTTGAATCCTTTGTTTTGCACAATGTGGAATGAAGTGATTGTGCTAGCTTGTGTGCTATATCTTATTGTTATTATTGTTCCCTTGGGTTCCTAGTGGAACATAGAGCTTCAACTGCACGTCCCCACTTGCTTCTGTCTTCCTTCTGCTGTACTTTTCACCTATATCCATGTTAGTCCATACTGTTTCAACTCCTCTTCACACAATCTCCTTCATGCCACCCTTGCACCGACGTCCCACTCGCTGCTCCTCTCTGGGGTTCCACTCGAAAAATGGCCTGACGCGCGCGCGATGTCACCCAGCGACCTCCTCAGCGAGCGAGTGTCCAATCCATCTCCACTTACTCCTGAATATTTCTTGGTTGGCGATTGGTTCTTGTTTTGTTTTGTTTGTTCCCATAGTTTCTCCTTGTTGGTGATTCGTTCCGGCCCGGCCATCTGATCTTCAGTATAGAGCCAGCGAAGACAGTTAGTTGTTGATAAAGGTCTTCAATAGCCAGCCTGTTGGAAATATTCTTTATGACCCGCCCGTCGAGTTTCTGATCCGTATAGAAGAACTGACTGACTTGACGTTTGCATTGAAAATCCGACTGAATTTTATTGTTGATTCTGGCGGAGTGACGAAGATTTCCAGATTGGTTTCAAGTTGATGAGTGTGTTTCTCGCCTTCCCGATTCTCGCCCGATTTGACATCCTCGTCCGTTCCGACTTCCTGTAGTTGAGACAATGCTCCCTAGATAAGTGAATGAAGTAACTAACCTCTTTCAAATCCCTCCCGTTGATGGTAATTGGCGCTGGATAGTGCTGCTGTTGTTGTTGTTGGTTGGTTATTTTCATAACCTCCGTCTTGTCTATGTTTACCTGGAGTCCTGGCTTTGCTGCTTCTTCGACCAGTTTGTCGGTTTTCGCTTGTAAGTCTTCGATTGTGTGTGACATCAAACATAAATCATCGCCGCGCGAAATCCAGGTCTTTTTGGTTCTTCACGTCGGTCCAGGATATCCGTGTTTTCTTATGTCCCACTGTCTGACGCATAATCCAGTCAGTCCATCACAATTAGGAATATCATTGGTGTGCTATATCTGTTCCGCTTATTTTAATAATATAATAATTTTTCCTTCACGTTCCCAGGGGAACATAGGACTTCAAGCTAGTGACTTGGAGTTTCTGAAGCAGTATTAATTTTTTTACAGGATGGGGTTGCTAACCTCATGCTTAACCTTTCCTCTTTACCAGTATTACTTCTGGCTTAGCGAGGTGAAGGAATGCGTCGGCCGGGGATCTAACCTCGGACCGTGTGCATGCTCGGCGAGCGTCCTAACCGCTGCGCCACCGATGCACTCCACCTATTTTACTATCTGAATAATAAGAATACGTATCAAACTTGTGAATATTTTATTCACCTGTCTCCTCTCATTGCAGCTAGATTGAACCAGAAAGGGAAATATACTGACCCTGATTCTGCACTATGGTCGTTTGTGTAGCTGTGAGTCATCCATCATGTGCTAGTGGATTATTGAGCGTTATCTCTTGTCAGACATGATATTTTATCTTTGATTCTCAGTAATTTTCTACTGTTACTACTCAGGTGTTATGTGGACTTTTGCCCTAGCACCTATTATGCCTTTATAGAGTTGTTCTCTTTCCCCAATATTGAGTAAAGGAACTATGCTGTTTTACCGGAATCTTTTCTTATAATTTGATTGACAGTGGCTTTCATTGAAATCCACCATAGGTGTTTTGTTCTATTCTAGGATTTGCTATGTTGGACCGAGCATTTCGAATCACAAAATTCGACCGAGGGGAAATTTATAACTGATAGCCGTTACACAAGATTTGTCTGTCATGGTTCACTAGCCTAGTGTTAGAAACGACGGGTGGTGTGTTTGAGTTTCACTAGGAACACCACTATTCATTGGTAAAGCAGGTACTTGCACACCAAAGGAATTAGAAACAATTACGAAATACCCCTTTTTGATTTCCACCATCAACTTATTATCATTACTATTGCTCCCTTGGGTTCCTAGTGGAACATAGAGTTTCAACAACACACACCCCCACTCTTTGTTCCGTTTTCTGCTGTCCTCTTCAGTTGCGTCCACGATTGCCCATAATCTGTCATGTCCTCCTTCCCAAACGATCTCCTCCATCCGAGATGATTAGCAGCATCAGATTAACATAAAGGTATTATTGAAAAGTTTGTACTTTGAGCTAACTTGTTTAACAGAGACCATACATTTTGGTTCGGTAAAGTTAACAGACAGGGAAATTCAAAATTTCATTAAGTAACAGAGTTTTGCTGACTACATACTTTGGTAGAAAGTTGATTACTGTGTTGTTTTTTTTTCCTTCCTGTTCTTTCATTTTGCCTCTGAGGTAAATTTTTTTTATCAGGTCCTAATTATCAAATAGTAGCATACTATCTAATTAAAATAATGAAGACATTGTTTCAAATATATAAGGGATGAATATATTCCTTGATGATCTGTAGGATTACTAAAATTAGAACAAGATGAGATTTGGACGAGAAGTATTGTTTTATTTTATTTTTTAATCAAATCCCCTTCGGATTCTATTTCTTTCTTTCTACACTTTAAATATGCATGAAGTAGTTGTTCATTATCGAATGATAGTGATTTGTAAACCAAAGGGTAAAATTGATAAATTATGCATTTAGTAGGAAAAATAATAATAATACAACTAATAATAATATCAGAAATAAGAACAGTGGAAACAGATTGACAGGATGGATATTTTTTTCGTTTCATAGCGTTGCTTTCCTAGTGGAACACTGAGTTTTGAGTCTGAGCTTTGAATTTTCAGTAGCGGTGGTGTTTTTTGTATTTTCCGCGATGGGGTCGCCAACCTCACGCTCAGACTTATCTCTTTTTCCGCGACTGTTATCAACTAAGCGGGGTTGAAGAGTGTTCCGTCTGGGAGTCGAACCCACACTAACGCCTTTATTTTTCTCTACACATTAAATATTCATGAAGTTGTCAAGTATTGGTTTTGTAGGGATTTTGTTTGATTATATGGAGGATTTCATCATGAGCTGACATCAGTTAAAGAACCACTGGAAAACCTGCAAGGAGTACTGGACAGCTGTTTAGTCCTAGTTTGCGACTCTTTAGCAGTACGCACCCGCCGGGGTTCGAACCCAGGACCTTCTGGTTACAAAGCAAGCGACCTCGTAGACTATTGAGCCACTGGGATGCGATCCAATGGTTCTTGAGGCAGTAACTCACCGAAGACGACATTGCGAAATGATCGCGCTGTCGTGAGTTGGCAGAACTAAGGATTCAAGAACCATTGGATCGGTTGTCAGTGGCTCAGTGGTCTACGAGGTCGCTTGCCTTGTAACCAGAAGGTCCTGGGTTCGAACCCTGGTGGGTGCGTACTGCTAAAGAGTCGCAAACTAGGACTAAACAGCTGTCCAGTACTCCTTGCAGGTTTTCCAGTGGTTCTCTAACTGATATCAGCTCATGATGAAATCATCTATTCATGAAGTTCATTAGCCAATCAATGATAGTGATTTGTAAACCAAAAGGTAAGTATCATAAGTTAGGTATGTTGTTAGAAAGCAAAAATAATAATAACATTATTGATAACATAAATGAAATGATTGGCATATTTGGAGATAAGAACGGTGAAAACAGTTTGCCTGGATAGATATTTCTATAATTAAATTAGGTCGAAATCTTATAAAATGAAAAGTTACCTACTACTAAGAATGAAAGTGAGTGAACATTCAAAGCCTAAACAAATATAATAGATATGCGAAAAAGAGAAAAGAATAGGAAATGAATGAAAGTGTTCAACTGAGGGTTAATTTATTAATTCTCCTTGACGAGGGGTTATATATATTTAAAAGCAGTAATTAGAACTTTTTTCTTTGAATTTCCATATCTTCAAATATGAAATTATTATAATATCATTATTATTCCCTTGGAATCCGGCTGGAACGTGGGGCTTCAGCAACACATCACTATTCCATCGTATTCGCTGTAGTCCTCTTTGGCTAACTCCACCATTATCCATAGGCTCTCATCCCCTCTTCACAAGACGTCTAAGTCACCCACGGTCGCCCAGTTCGTCGTTTCCTATTCAGGTTCCACTCTGGAGCCTAGAACGCAATGTCACTCCGGTCTCTACAGAGTATGGCCAGTTCACCCCCCCCCACTTTTTTCGATGTATTTGTTGGGTGACAGGTTCTTGTTTGGTTCGTTAGCAGAGTACGTTGTCGCGCTAATCCTTTCTGTCCATCTAATCTTCATTATTGAGCTAAGGCAGCTGTTGACGATTATCTGAAGTCTGTTCGAAATACTTTTTGTAACACGCCGAGTCTCTGCACGGTATAGAAGTATTGATTAGGTATTATTGTTGAAAATCCGAATTTATTACTCATTGCTGATTGCAGCAGATTTCCAAACTGATTTCAGAGTGATGATGGTCTGCCTTGTCTTTAATATCCTGTTTTTTGGTATCCTCAGCTGCACTGTTGCTCGTAGTTAGAACGATGCTGTTTTGATAAGTGAAAGAGAAGGACCTTCAAAATCTTCCCGTTAATAGTAAATGGTGTTTGTCTTTACTGGTCAGTTATCTTGTCTTCAATACCTGCTTCTTCTACTAACTTGTCAGTTTCCACCTGTAAGTCTTCGAATTCATTTAACCGGAAGACCCTGGGTTTGAACCCAGGTGGATGTGCTCTAATGAAGAGTCCGAAATTAGGACGGGTGAAACAGCTTTCCACTGCTCATAGGTTTTGCAATGGTTCTCTAACCGATGTCAGTTCATCGTAAAATCCTATGACTAATCAGACCCCTACAAACCAACTCTTGAATGTTGCAATTTTAATTGCTTTATATCAATTTTACAGGACATCATGGAGATGCCGGTGCAACAATGGCTGATATTGTTTTACCTGCCTCGGCTTACACAGAAAAAGATTCAATTTATGCTAACACCGAGGGACGTGCTCAACAAACTCGACTAGCTGTCGTTCCACCCGGGATTGGTAGAGAAGACTGGAAGATATTTCGTGCAATCTCAGAAGTAACAGGTGTCACTCTGCCTTATGATAATTTAAATCAAATTCGAAATCGAATTCGAGAAATTGCTCCAGGACTTTTGAATTTCAATACAATTCAATCACCGTCTAAAGAAGTACAAACTGTGTCTGATAATTTAGCCAAAGTAAGTTAATGGGAATTATGCGAATTTGTTGTTTATCTTTGTTTCATCAAGTAATAGATTCTTATATACTGAGTTTTAGTTTCATTAGGAAGGCGAATAATATTTCGTTTCTATCAAGTACAAAAGAAATTTACTGAAGACCCTCAGCCACAGAGTTAGAGCTATATGCTCAGAAGAAGTAATTGAAGATGAATTAAGCATTGTATATGGTACTTCCATCGAAAATAGCTATCCTGAAAAATTTATCAAGAAACACATGACAATGAAAGCGGGAAAGGACCAGTCACTCTCTGTAAACAAGAAGCCACTTTATTTACGACTACAATTCAGGGGTGATATACCAAGTGAGATAATTACGAGGAGATTAAGAAAATCAATTCAAAAAAAACTTTTAATGCTGGCGAACTACACGTGTTGTTCTCTACACGACCGATGGTGATTCCTCGATTGAAAGATGAAGTACTTAGACTAGCCATTTCAAATTATATCTACCTATTCAACTGCGCTTGTGGGACGAGTTATATTGGCCGTTGCTCTAGGAACTTGATTTTCCGTGCTCGCTCGAGAACATCTCCCACTATGGCTAAGTAAAGTTGTAGTTAAAGCCATTAACAGTTCGATATTGGACCATCTGGTCCACAAAGCCAGCCAGCGTGGAAGAATCCTTTTCTATAATCTACCGGGTGCCTAATAAATTGCCAAAATCATCGAAGCATCGCATGCTCCAAACAGCAGAGGCTCTTATAATTCGCCTCAAACAACCAGTGCTCTGTGTCCTAAAGGAGCAAGTCCAGCCCCTACTACTGCCCTGGCCGGCCTTCAGTAGAGACTATATATTCATGAACTTGTCATATTATCCCTCTTAAATCATCAAGTGACATCACTAAACAAGCCCTCAAGTGGAAGCCGAAAGGGAAGCGGCGAGTTGGTCGTCAATGCAAGGGTGACTTGGAGGAGGTCATGTGAAGAAGAGATGAAAGCATGTGGGCAGACTTGGAGCGGGGTGAAAAAGTCGGCAGAAAACCGAAGGCAGTGCAGACGCGCGGCTGAAACCCTATGTTCCTCTAGGAATTAAAGGATATAATAATAATAATAATTTTTTATGACATTCAGCTTATTTTATTTTGATGCTATTGAACTATAATCCATTGATATTATTATTGACTCGATGTTATTTAAACAACATCAATGTTGTTCATAACACGAATTCATTCTTTCACTATAATGTATATATAACTATAGAGCCTGATGAAGAAGGGGTTATCGAAAAGAGTACTTATTATTCAGTATCCACTCTTTAGGAAATTTTGTCTCATTTATTGGGATGAAATAGTTGCCGCCAAATGGAATGCATTTTTCGAACAGTTACTCATCGGAAATTCAACATATGACTAACTACTTTATAAAAAAATGTATGATAAAAATACTTGGTCTGTCTTTTCTTTAAAGGTACATTTCATTGTATTTTTCAGACTCAGTATAATCCTGTAACGGAAAGAACAAAAGCAGCAACAAGATAAGACAGATAAAACTAGAAAGCTGTTAGTGTAATTCTTTGAATTTAAAAGAAAACTATTAACTCTATTGATTGAGGGTTTTTGTCTTCTTGTAGAAGTGAGAAGCTTATTCAATATATTACACAGAGATTGAGTGTTTGTTATTCATGGGATGATGGTATTCCTAATACAGTTTTATTTTCATTTTTTTCTACGCGTCCAGTTGTGATTTTTCAACTGGCGTGTGCTACTGACAGGATTTATAAGTAGTATATAGATACAGATATAAATATATGTATATCATCTGCAAGAATATTAAATAACGGAGAGATGGATTTGATGGTGAAGAGGAGAAATGCACGATAATTGTGAAGCACCATGGAAAACATAAAAGGAAGACAAAGAAGGACAACATGAAAAAATGTTGGGATTGTCTGTATCTGTACATCTAGTTGCTAAATACTCTTGTATTCGAATGTCATACCTAGCCTAGCAACGTGTTCATTCCTCTATAAATTCTATTGCACCTTTGGAGCCAGTTTTTCATACTTGGAACCACGATTGTGTCTAAATAAAGGTGTAGTAAAAACCATCAACCGGTTGGAGATTAGACAACCTAATCCAAACGGTTTACAAAGCCAGCATTGGGAGGAGGGTCTTTCCTCTATCAACTGTTGGGGGTACCAAATAAATTGCCGAAAATTTCTAGGTATCGAATACTCCAAAAAAGAAAAAAAACAGAAGTCATTGCAATTTGCTTAAAACACCCGAAGCTTTGAGTGCAAAAGAAACCAAATCAACCACTAATTGCTACCCTGGTCTATAAAATCATAAATAATACTGTTATGACGTCATACCTTTTAGGTATGATATTTCACGTTGTATGTATTCAATTGCCGCCTACCTTTATTTTCAATATCTCATCTCGGTATTCGTATATTTCACTTTTCACTCTTTGGTTTTACTAATAGTTTATAAAATAAATGCTTTTAGCATAGCATCATTCTGTGTAGGACTATAATCTATATGTTCATTAACACTATGCTATTCACTTATATATTTTATAGATTAGCTCAAGTTCATCTCAGCTGAATACAAAAGAACCAATCAAATTAAGTTTGCTTACATTGAAGGATTATTTCATTACAGATTGTATAAGTCGAGCATCTCAAACTATGGCAAAATGTGTGAAAGCTGTACAAGAATATGAAAAAACTAAGAAAATATAAACTCCTCTGTATAACTAGTATGACTGACTATGTAAGCATTGAATTAAAACTTACAACAAAAGAGAAGAAAATTGAATTTAGTTAAATCAATTCGCTTTCAGTTCAATCCTTTTTTTTTCTCTTTTTTTCGTTTTCGTAAAGCCTCATATTTTGATTGTAGAAATTATTCTAATAATAATAGTCAAAGAGATAATAAACATATAAAAAAAACTAAGTGAATTTTCTTTCTAGTATTTGTCGTCGCCACTTCCCTTTCGGGTTCCACTCGAGCGATGGCTTGTCTAGTGATGTCACTTAATGGTTTCCTCAGCGTATGACCAGCCAATCCATCTCTATTTCTTCCTGCCTATTTGTTGCACAATCGGTTCCTGATGGGTTGGTTCGCTCATTGCCAGAGATCCCTGTGTCTGATCTTTTCTGGCCATCTGATCTTGAGTGGTGTTGAGCGAAGGCAACTGTTAATGAAGGTCTGTAGTTTGTTTGAGATGCTCTTTATGACGCGCAGTGCAAGTCTCTGATCCGTATAGTAAGTAGCACTGACCTCTTCACATTGGAGTTGAAAATCCGGTTGTTATTTTTGATGGTGAGTGCTGTTGACCTCCACACAAACCTGAGAGTAATAAAATCCTGTTTTGCTATTCCGCGTGTAGTTGAAACGATGCTTCCCAGGTAGGTGGGTAGGTAAAGGAGGTTGCTTCTTTCAGGTTCCTCCCATTTATGCCGACTGATTGTTGTCTGTTGTTGTTGCTGCTGTTGGTGTTGGCCAGGAATCTTCATCACCTCTGTTTTATCTATGTTAACCTGAGGGGAGTTCTATCTTCTCTGGATGCTTCTTCTGCCAGCTTGTTGCTTTTCATTTGCACAGCTAAATGTTATCGTTAACCCTAAAACAGCAGGTGTTGCTTACAAACTATTATGCCTTTTGCAGCAAAGTCAAATCATCTGGCCAAAAGACTCTTTTCAGCGATATCATTTTGAAGCTGTACATTCGCAAATATATGTATAGTATATTTTCATGACTGACTTAGTTTTAGAACAACACATTTAAGCAAACAATATTGTGCTTTCAATTAGATGTCATCAGGCTTCACTGTAATATATATAATTTTACAAATAAAATACAAATATAAACCAATCATGATGTTTGTCTATAGGATAATAAGATGGTGAATATAAATTGTGCAATTAGTCACAATAGTAGTAATGATAATAATAATAATGGTTTTATCAATAATAAGGATGAAAAAGTGAGGCGATCTGTGATAACACGAATAATGAAAAACAAACAAATGTTCAGGTGGAAGTAGTCGATAAATGCTAGTAAAAACAAGTAAACCGATTAAGTAATGCTAGACTGATTGTAACGGAAGGAAATGAGACACGTTTTTAATGGAGATGTGATAAGATTAGGGGATGATAAGAAAGGGGTTGAAAATATAAACAAGGGGTGGTGTAGAAGTAATTAATTGGTTATGTCTAAATAGGCCAAGGGAGGGATAATGGCTGTACGAACTTCTTTTGGATGCATAGTTTAGGTTTAATAGTTCGAATGCCTATCACCTCAGGTGTGTGCAGTAGATGAATACGAAGTCTATTGGAAAGATTCGGTGGGATATGATGAATTACCTTTAAAGCTTTCGTATCTCCACTATATGACTTAGTTTTATTGTAGAATTTTCAACAGAATTGCAGCAGTTCAAGTTCTCACACAAAAGTAGGGGAAAAGTAAGCATACAAAAGAGCTACAATGTACAGAAATATGCGGAAGGAGAAATAATTGCATTGAGTGACACGAAAATTTAATATTTACCTAACCCATTGAGAACAACCATGAGGCATATCACCAACAACCTCAAGTTATAGGCTCTTAACATCTCTGATACCCCAGGCAGGAGGCCGTCTACACCTCCCTATCCAGTTCAACTAACAGCCAAAAAACCTCATGGACTGATCCCATGTTTTTATTTAACCACTCATTAGCTCTTTTGCAACCTAGTCCTACGTCAACTAAGATTGCTTGACAAGATTTTCATATCAGCTAAAGAAATATTTCCAAAAAGATGCCATTAAAGTTGTAGGCTCTAGATATAAATGATGTGATGCAGAGAGCATTAGTCGATTGGCTAGAAACTAAAACAAAATTACCCGATTACATCTAGTGGCGTAACGTAATTGACAGGATTGAGTAGGGTTCAATTAAATTTGAGAGTTGGTCAAGTTAAGTTCAGCGGTGTTAGGTGTATACGAGTAATATTGTTTACTCTATGGTGAATGTGGACGATAGATTAGTTCTTTTAGTATTATCATATTGTTCTGAAGATATTTTAAAGTCTTGATTAACACGGTACTTAAATATTACATTCTTAATAAATACTTTCGAAATCTTCAAATTTGTGTAAGAGTCGCATTACCTTGCTGATGTTACCTCCAACTGCATTTATAAATATAACGTGTACCTGAGGCAGCAAGTACATTGGAAGGACACAAAGAAGTGCTTCTATCCGGTTTTCAGAGCATATTCCGAGAAACTAATACTTAAAAGGTAGCAGATATTCAAAAAGTGCAATTACCAGACACCTTGTGGATACGGGTCATTTTGTCGAGATTTTCAAATCCTTCAAAATATTAAACATACAAAGGACAGTGAATCTACTACGATTTGCCAAAGCAATTGCAATCAAACGTCACAGACCAAACCTATGCATACACAAGGAGAGTGTAGTCAATCTCTCACTCTCTCTTGGTAACCATATCATTTTCATTAAAGTGATTAGTCATACACACTAGTGGGCTCAACTCACTAAGCAAGTTTTCAAATTGATGAAGTTTGACCTTCTTGAGTTGCCATGTTGACACTGTTTACTAGATTTTTTCTGCCTTCTCTCATCCCCCCTTTTTTTCTTCCTTTTTTTATAGTTTGATAATATACAAATTCATGATGCGGTCACCTTATAATGTTTTCTCTATTACCTTTCAATCAATGAAGTATGAAATGTTATTATTTATAACCATTGTAATTTCAGGTAGTTTGCAGTTGATTAGAACCTGTGAAGTAGGATGATGTCATTTTATACTGCAAATCTGATCTTTCTTTCTCTATCGAAGTTTATCAAGGGAATGAAATGTATGAAAGTCACATTACTATTTATGACTGGTTTGTGATGTGCTATTGCTGTTTACAGTACAGTATTTATCTCATTTACATAAATCAATAGCGTTTCTTAACATCGACTCGTTTGTTTTCACAGTATTACTCATTCTTCAGTTGTCTGCATGTTGAGCAATACTGTAAAGACACTTGTGATGAAATCCTACAACGCTATTATGTGTTATTTCTTGCAGGTGTAACTTTGCACCATCAACACGTTCTATATCTTCACTTTCTTGCCTTAAACTAGGATTTAATGCAAACCTATTCAACATCATCCTCTGACATCTGATATGGGAAAAACTATTACTCAGATTGCTACACAAGGTATTCAGTAAATCCTTTTTCTGTACATATTTCTCTGTGAAAAATATTTTGTATGCGTCCTCTAAATCAGTCAACTCCTTACCAGCTGGGAAGTTATCTCTTAAAGAACGAGAATCTAGTAGTCGCATTTCGTCACAGTACATATCTATGATAAAATTAACTAAAAGGGTAATTTCACCTACCATGGAGTGGCAATGTGGGTAGGTGAACTCCTCCAACCGTTACACAAGAATGTGGTAAATCATAGTGTTAAAGAAGTCTTTGAATTCATTTCTAACGTATATGATATTATTGTAAAGGGGAAGCAAATGCTATCCTTAGATGTCGCCTATGCAGACTGTGGAATTTATACGCCAACAGATAACTAGAAAAACAGTTCGACATCGGAATTCCAGTTATTAGTCTGAAAGAGTTGCTTTTAAGATATACTATGAATGTACACTTCACACTAAACAACCTTTATTACAGACAAATCGATGGTGTTGCCTTGGGTTCTCCATTGGGTCGAATTAAAAACTGATTGTTATTTTCGTTATGTTGATGATACGTTTACTACTCTTGATGTGAAAGTTGATAAGAATGAAATGTTAATAAAATTTAATGATGCATATCCATCGCTCATCTTCATTTATGAAGCAGAACATGATGGTAGACTACACTTCCTTGAGCAGTAGAGACGATGGTTCACTCAGGAGGGATGTTTACAGAAAACCTACATCTGTAGGACAAAATACACATTTCCTCAGTTTTGTACCAATCCGATACAAAATCAATTTGGTTAGATGCCTCACGCAAAGAGCAAGATGGATCTGTACAGATGACTCGCTAGAAAGTGAGTTAGGATACATCCAAATGGGTGCGTCGGTGGTATAGCGGTAAGCACGCTCGCCGACCATGCATATGGTCCGGGGTTCGATCCCTGGCCGGCGCACTCCTTTACCTCACTGAACCAGAAATAATGCTGGTAAAGAGGAAAGGTTGGGCATGAGGCTGGCTAGCAACCCCATCCTGTAAAAATTAAACTCTGCTACAGAAACTTCAAGCCACTAGCTTGGATCCCTATGTTCCACTGGGAACGTGAAGGAAAAATTACTATTTTTACAAATGGGTTATCATAGCAGAATTGTAAGATGACACATGAACACCAAGTACAATAAACAGAAACTGACAACAGTTAAAAAGAAACAACTGTTCATGAAATTGCAATTTGATGGGGACGTGGCTAGTGAAGTCTTACGTCCAAGATTATCGAGAGCAATGAAATGGACTTATATTGCCTCCACCCTTTCTTTGTCATTCTCCAGTTGTCCATCAATTATGATTGCTCAAGCAAAAGGCAAGCTACCTAGCTGTGCCACTTCTATGTTTATCTACAAATTTAGCTGCTCCTGTGTGGAGAAAGCTGGCTATATAGAGCGAACAACTAGACAGCTTAACAAACGCAATAATAAGCATCTTCTTTCATGGTTCGGAAGAGGTCAAATAAAATCTGTGATAATTTCTATTTCGACTCATTTGATTGATA